ACATAGATATTTAATATGGTTACATCCTCTTACAGATTGACTATTTAAGTGTCTGACCATTGTAACACATAGATATTTGTTAAGGTTACATCCTCTTACAGATTGACTATTTAAGTGTCTGACCATTGTAACACATAGATATTTAATAAGGTTACATCCTCTTACAGATTGACTATTTAAGTGTCTGACCATAGTAACACATAGATATTTAATAAGGTTACATTCTCTTACAGATTGACTATTTAAGTGTCTGACCATTGTAACACATAGATATTTAATAAGGTTACATCCTCTTATAGATTGACTATTTAAGTGTCTGACCATAGTAACACATAGATATTCAATAAGGTTACATTCTCTTACAGATTGACTATTTAAGTGTCTGACCATAGTAACACATAGATATTTAATAAGGTTACATCCTCTTACAGATTGACTATCTAAGTGTCTGACCATAGTAACACATAGATATTTAATAAGGTTACGTTCTCTTACAGATTGACTATTTAAGTGTCTGACCATTGTAACACAAAGATATTTGATAAGGTTACATTCTCTTACAGATTGACTATTTAAGTGTCTGACCATTGTAACACATAGATATTTAATATGGTTACATCCTCTTACAGATTGACTATTTAAGTGTCTGACCATTGTAACACATAGATATTTGATAAGGTTACATCCTCTTACAGATTGACTATTTAAGTGTCTGACCATTGTAACACATAGATATTTAATAAGGTTACATCCTCTTACAGATTGACTATTTAAGTGTCTGACCATAGTAACACATAGATATTTAATAAGGTTACATTCTCTTACAGATTGAGCAGTTGAGTGTTTAAGTGTCTGACCAAAGTAACACATATATATTTAATAAGGCTACATCCATTTACAGATTGACTATTTAAGTGTCTGACCATTGTAACACATAGATATTTAATAAGGTTACATTCTCTTACAAATTGACTATTTAAGTGTCTGACCATTGTAACACATAGATATTGAATAAGGTTACATCCTCTTACAGATTGACTATTTTAGTGTCTGACCATAGTAACATATAGATATTTAATAAGGTTATATTCTCTTACAGATTGACTATTTAAGTGTCTGACCATTGTAACACATAGATATTTAATAAGGTTACACCCTCTTACAGATTGACTATTTAAGTGTCTGACCATAGTAACACATAGATATTTAATAAGGTTACATTCTCTCTCTTACAGATTGAGCAGTTGAGTGTTTAAGTGTCTGACCATTGTAACACATAGATATTTAATAAGGTTACATCCTCTTACAGATTGACTATCTAAGTGTCTGACCATTGTAACACATAGATATTTAATAAGGTTACATTCTCTTACAGATTGACTATTTAAGTGTCTGACCATTGTAACACATAGATATTTAATAAGGTTACATTCTCTTACAGATTGACTATTTAAGTGTCTGACCATAGTAACACATAGATATTTAATAAGGCTACATTCTCTTACAGATTGACTTTTTAAGTGTCTGTCCATTGTAACACACAGATATTTAATAAGGCTACATTCTCTTACAGATTGACTTTTTAAGTGTCTGACCATTGTAACACACATATATTTAATAAGGCTACATTCTCTTACAGATTGACTTTTTAAGTGTCTGACCATTGTAGCACATAGATATTTAATAAGGTTACATCCTCTTACAGATTGACTATTTAAGTGTCTGACCATTGTAACACATAGATATTTAATAAGGTTACATTCTCTTACAGATTGACTATTTAAGTGTCTGACCATTGTAACGCATAGATATTTAATAAGGCTAAATCCTCTTACAGATTGACTATTTAAGTGTCTGACCATTGTAACGCATAGATATTTAACAAGGTTACATCCTCTTACAGATTAAGTATTTAAGTGTCTGTCCATTGTAACACATAGATATTTAATAAGGTTACATTCTCTTATAGATTGACTATTTAAGTGTCTGACCATTGTGCAAACAAAATAAAATTTGAATGCTTGTTAGGTGAACCATGGAATCTTTATAAGCTATTGTTGATATATAAATAAACTGGTTGAACAGGTTTTCTAATTATTCTTTTGTCAATAGTTCCATGTTTACAATTGACAGGTAGACTTCCTGCAAATTTTGCCCATATTTTACTCCAATATCTTAGTGAAAAAAAAAACAGAATTTTTACAGTAGTGAAATAAAATTGAGAATAGACATTGGGAATATGTCAAAGAGACAACACCCCAACCAAAAAGCAGACAACAGCCGAAGGCCACCAAAGGGTCTTCAACGCAGCGAGAAAATCCCACACCTGGAGGTGGTCCTCAGCTGGCCCCTAATTAAATTGTGTACTAGTTCAGTGAAAGATCATTTTGTCACATGAAGTTCTCAATATGAAGCCTTGTAAGAACCTGTTTACCATTTGTTTGGCTGAAACGTATAACAAATTTAAAAGGTTGAATAGAAAGAACTGCTAAAGAGAGAAATATATTTGGCATCAACTTGCAATAATATAAACATTCCCCGACTACAGTTTTTTTAAAGAGGACAATAAACCAAATATCCCATTGTCTTACCTTCTGGCCCTACAAATATAACAGTTAAACATTCAAATAGATTTCAATGTCAAATAATATATCATGGTTACCAGTAAAGAGTTAAAATTATTTTACAATAACTTAATTTTGGATGTAACACGTCATCTGATTGGCTGAAAGTTTTTTGTCTATCAATTCATAGACATAATTTTGTTATCTAACCGTAACGTCATCAATGTTTTTTCATGATTTACTCCTTAAAAATGGAAATTAGAATTAAATTATAAGGAGTGACTGTAATATTTTTTCTGTCTATTCGAAATAACCTCAAAAATGTGGTGCACACTTTTAAATTACCTGCTATGCGGGTTATTCAGTGTGCACCACATTTTTGGAGTTATTTCTTCATAGACGGAAATAAAATGCTCCGCTGGGCGCAGTTTGATACGACCGCAGAGGTTGAACCCTGAACAGTTGGGGCAAGTATGGACACAACATTCAAGCTTGATACAGCACTGAATTTGGATTGTGATTAAATATTTGACACAGCACAGGTTTCTGACACAGAATGAAAGTGGTCTAAGAACTTAAAATTTTTTAATTTACCTATTCAAACCATATCATTATTATTTGCTTTTATATATGAATCAGAAATAACCAATTTAAAATGGAAAATTTTAAAGAAAAAAAAAGGAAAAAAAATCCCTCCCCCAAATTTTTTGAACCCCCTTATGATTCATCACCCCCAAACTCAATCCCAGCCTTCCCTTTGTGGTATGGTACCTGGCAGTACAATTTCAGAGAGATCCATACACTTGAAAACACAAGTTATTGTCTGGAAACTAGAAAAATGCTTATTTTTGGCCCCTTTTTGGCCCCTAATTCCTAAAATTTTGAGGCAATTACCCCCAAACACAATTCCAGCTTTCCCTTTGTGATATGAAACCTTGTAGTACAATTTCAGAAAGATCCATACACTTACACACAAGTTATTGTCATGAAACTAGAAAAATGCTTGTTTTTTTACCCTTTTTTGGCCCCTAATTCCTAAAATTTTGAGGCAATTACCCCCAAAATCAATCCCAGCATTCCCTTTGTGATATAGAACCTTGTGGTACAATGTCAGAGAGATCCATACACTAACACACAAGTTATGTCTGCAAGTTACAAAAATGCTTATTTTTGGCCCCTAATTCCTTAACTGTTGGTACCATAACCCCCAAAATCAATCCCAACATTCCTTTTGTGGTTTTGAACCTTATGGTAAAATTTCATAGAGATCCATGCACTTAAACTAAAGTTATTGTGCGAAAACCAATGTGTCTTCAGACGACAACAATGACGACGACGACACCAACGTCATACCAATATACGACCGCAAAATATAAAGATATTACAGTCATTCCTTAAATGGTTTGTATTTGCCTGGAATCAGATCTTGTGATCTGTACAAAACTATAAATAACCATAAACATATAAAATACACAGATTATCTTGAAATGTTTGTTGGACAATATTTGACCTATTTGTTATGAACAAAAGAGAGGCGAAAGATACCAAAGGGACATTCAAACTCATAAGTCGAAAATAAACTGACAACGCCATGGCTAAAAAAAAAAAGAAAAAGACCAACAGACAAACAATAGTACACAAAATACAACATAGAAAACTTAAGACTGAACAACACGAACCCCACCAAAAAATTGGGGGTGATCTCAGGTTCTCCGAAAGGGTAAGCAGATCCTGCTCCACATGTGGCACCGGTCGTGTTGCTCATGTTTGTACAAACCTGGTAATAAGTCTTATTCGGTAGGTCACATTCGGGAATAGGGGACAGGATTGTAGTTTTGACATTAGGAACATATCCACTATGAATATCATACATCCTCTTACCTCCTATGTCCTATGTTGTAAGAGTTACACAGTCTCTGTATGTTAAAAAACCTTTGTAACAATTTTTTGAGGGGTTCCTAGGTGGTTTTTACAGGGCAAAACATATGCCCTCATAATTACCAACATGCTCTCTTTTTCCAAAGACAATCTAAATTTCCAACCTTCCATCGTAATGAACCTATTTGGTAGACCCTACATTAATGATTTTTTGTTTAATTTGAATACTGTAAATTCAGAATTTTTGTGATGTTTTTATTAATGCAAAAAAAGCAAGTTGATGAAGATTGCAATAATAAGAACTTGCATTCTGATATCTGATACTTATATCTGTATGAAGATTTTCCTGAAATCGCAATAATTAATTTCACTTTTTTGTCCATTCCTCAAAAATCACAATAATAAATGCACGCAATAATTTCTGAATTTACAGTACGCAATAAAAATCAGTGACTGGACATCAAGGAAACAACAATCAATCAATAATTTGACCGTCTAAAATCTCAAATAATTCTGTCGTAATTAAAACAATACCATATATAATAAGTACCAACTTACCATGGCAACCGTCTGATATCTCAAATAGCTGTGTGGTCATTAAAACAATACCATAATAGGAAAATGCAGACACTAACCTAAAATGGAAAATAAACAATCAGAGAGTGTTAAGGTTCATTAAGAATTCAGGTACACATAAAGTATTAGAGACTTTATAAGAAATAGAGGATTGCAAACAATAATCCACGTGACTAGTAGTGATTATTGAAGAAAATGTTTACAAGTTTGAATCCCATGCAAATGTGTTGTATGTTTTTGAGAGGTAAAAAGTTTGTAAGTTACAAGTTAAAAGTTAGAGTATAAATTAAATTCTGTTGAAAATGGATTCTTGAAAAATAATCTATTGTTAGAACAATAGATTGACAGCAGAAAAAATGTGACAAAAGTAATTCAAATAGATTTTTTACAAAGTAAAGGTTGGGAAAATTGTCCCTCAATTGTCTGTGTGAAACTAATGAGAATGTGGCAAGTGTGATATCAGTTTTGAGGCAACTAAATAACATAAAAATATTTCAACAGGTTAGAACAGGTCACGGGTTAACGTTTTTAAGTCATAAGTTCCAGCTGATATATTCTTTTTTCAGAACCTGCTATTCAATAGGTTACATTGCTTTATATATATATAACATTCAACATCAATCTTGTACAAAAATACTGAAATAATTAACTTAAACAATTTGTTCTGGATGTGATGCAAATTTCAACACAAAAAAAGGTTGTTATTTCAAAATTCGTAGTTTATCAGTATTATATGAAGTTTGAGAGGAGAAATAACAAAAAGGTGCATCACCAATTCATGTTTCCTTGTTTTAAAAAGAGTTATAAACATAAATATTTAACCAGTTTTGATATGGTTTTATAATAAGCTCAATATATTATAGTTACCATATAACCCACAACATTAAAGTGGTTTTTCTATACTCTAAGGCGAACAAATCCTTTATACTTCCTCTGTTGGTAGCCTGGATAATATAATATTAGTTTTAAAATAAACAAGAATTTGCACCCAATATCATGCAAGTATACTACCACTCACAGAGTAAAGTACGAGAAGGTTCAATCAACCATTTACGAAAATGTTTACTAAGAACTATTACTGGAAATTTTTTCTGAGGATGCCAGTTGTTAAGATTCATCATAACCTTTTGGCTAATATGGCCGTATTTACACCACAAATTTTACGCTGAGTACAGACAAACCTGTGCACCTGAAAAAGTTTAAAGGCATGGCAGGAAATAGATAATTGAATTTTAAATGCATTTTAAGTTTCAGAAAGTTATAAACATTTCTGGATTTTGCTATTCATATTTTTTTCATTCCTGCAGAAGGTGCCAAAAATAAAATAAGTTGGGAAAGAGGTTTGAGAAACTCCCCTAATATAATAAATGTTGTGAGTAGTATTGATTTAAATGGAAATAGATGGACGATAGACATCTGCAAACAATAGGTGATTTAAACTGTGCAACTGAGAGGACCGTATCAAATGAAACTCATGTGTTTGTTTATTTTGCTATCTTATGCAGACTGGTAAAAAATGCACATCAAAATCCAGGTAAGTTTTTATTTTCTAAAACATAGACTACATATAACTTTTATATATCTAGGTCCTGTCATGCCTTAAAACTTTCCTAAATACATCAGTTTGTCTGTACTCATAGTATATTTTGTGGTGTAAACACGGCCATATTTTTCAATTCCTTTTGATGAAACATAACCTTGTTAGTGTATTCAGTATATATACATACATTAAAATAAATCTCGTCAAGCACCTGTGCTACCACTTGCTTCATTGACAAACAAGAATATGTCTCCATATGACATCATCCCCTGCTACAGAAAAAACCCTAATTTGGCATATTTAATAAACAGTTTATATCATAATGAATATGTGTACTATGTTTATACCATAATGAACATGTGAATTATGTCTATATCATAATGACCATGTGTACTATGTTTATATCATAATGAATATGTGTACTATGTTTGTATCATAATGAACATGTGTACTATGTCTATATCATAATGACCATGTGTACTATGTTTATATCATAATGAATATGTGTACTATGGCTATATCATAATGACCATGTGTACTATGTTTATATCATAATGAACATGTGTACTCTGTCTATATCATAATGAACATGTGTACTATGTTTGTATCATAATGAACATGTGTACTCTGTCTATATCATAATGACCATGTGTACTATGTTTATATCATAATGACCATGTGTACTATGTCTATATCATAATGAACATGTGTACTATGTTTATATCATAATGAATATGTGTACTATGTTTGTATCATAATGAACATGTGTACTATGTCTATATCATAATGACCATGTGTACTATGTTTAGATCATAATGAATATGTGTACTATGTTTATATCATAATGAACATGTGTACTATGTTTATATCATAATGAACATGTGTACTATGTCTATATCATAATGACCATGTGTACTATGTTTAGATCATAATGAATATGTGTACTATGTTTATATCATAATGAACATTTGTACTATGTTTGTATCATAATGACCATGTGTACTATGTCTATATCATAATGACCATGTGTACTATGTCTATATCATAATGAACGTGTGTACTATGTCTATATCATAATGAACATGTGTACTATGTTTATATCATAATGACCATGTGTACTATGTTTATATCATAATGAACACGTGTACTATGTTTATATCATAATGAACATGTGTACTATGTTTATATCATAATGAACGTATGTACTATGTTTATATCATAATGAACGTGTGTACTATGTTTATATCATAATGAACACGTGTACTATTTTTATATCATAATGAACGTGTGTACTATGTTTATATCATAATGAACGTGTGTACTATGTTTATATCATAATGAACATGTGTACTATGTTTATATCATAATGAACGTGTGTACTATGTTTATATCATAATGACCATGTGTACTATGTTTGTATCATAATGAACATGTGTACTATGTTTGTATCATAATGAACATGTGTACTATGTCTATATCATAATGACCATGTGTACTATGTCTATATCATAAAGACCATGTGTACTATGTTTATATCATAATGAACGTGTGTACTATGTTTATACCATAATGACCATGTGTACTATGTTTGTATCATGTGTACTATGTCTATATCATAAAGACCATGTGTACTATGTTTATATCATAATGAACATGTGTACTCTGTCTATATCATAATGAACATGTGTACTATGTTTGTATCATAATGAACATGTGTACTCTGTCTATATCATAATGACCATGTGTACTATGTTTATATCATAATGACCATGTGTACTATGTCTATATCATAATGAACGTGTGTACTATGTTTATATCATAATGACCATGTGTACTATGTCTATATCATAATGAACATGTGTACTATGTTTATATCATAATGAATATGTGTACTATGTTTGTATCATAATGAACATGTGTACTATGTCTATATCATAATGACCATGTGTACTATGTTTAGATCATAATGAATATGTGTACTATGTTTATATCATAATGAACATGTGTACTATGTTTATATCATAATGAACATGTGTACTATGTCTATATCATAATGACCATGTGTACTATGTTTAGATCATAATGAATATGTGTACTATGTTTATATCATAATGAACATTTGTACTATGTTTGTATCATAATGACCATGTGTACTATGTCTATATCATAATGACCATGTGTACTATGTCTATATCATAATGAACGTGTGTACTATGTCTATATCATAATGAACATGTGTACTATGTTTATATCATAATGACCATGTGTACTATGTTTATATCATAATGAACACGTGTACTATGTTTATATCATAATGAACATGTGTACTATGTTTATATCATAATTAACATGTGTACTATGTCTATATCATAATGAACGTGTGTACTATGTCTATATCATAATGAACGTGTGTACTATGTTTATATCATAATGAACGTGTGTACTATATCATAATGAACGTGTGTACTATGTTTATATCATAATGAACACGTGTACTATGTTTATATCATAATGAACATGTGTACTATGTTTATATCATAATTAACATGTGTACTATGTCTATATCATAATGAACGTGTGTACTATGTCTATATCATAATGAACGTGTGTACTATGTTTATATCATAATGAACGTGTGTACTATATCATAATGAACGTGTGTACTATGTTTATATCATAATGACCATGTGTACTATGTTTATATCATAATGAACATGTGTACTATGTTTATATCATAATGAACATGTGTACTATATCATAATGAACGTCTGTATTATGTTTATATCATAATGAACGTGTGTACTATGTTTATATCATAATGAACATGTGTACTATATCATAATGAACATGTGTACTATGTTTATATCATAATGAACGTGTGTACTATATCATAATGAACATGTGTACTATGTTTATATCATAATGAACGTGTGTACTATGTTTATATCATAATGAACCTGTGTACTATGTTTATATCATAATGAACATGTGTACTATATCATAATGAACGTCTGTATTATGTTTATATCATAATGAACGTGTGTACTATGTTTATATCATAATGAACATGTGTACTATATCATAATGAACGTCTGTATTATGTTTATATCATAATGAACGTGTGTACTATGTTTATATCATAATGAACGTGTGTACTATGTTTATATCATAATGAACGTGTGTACTATTTTTATATCATAATGAACATGTGTACTATGTTTATATCATAATGAACGTATGTACTATGTTTATATCATAATGAACGTGTGTACTATGTTTATATCATAATGAACATGTGTACTATGTTTCTATCATAATGAACGTGTGTACTATGTTTATATCATAATGAACATGTTTACTATGTCTATATCATAATGAACGTGTGTACTATGTCTATATCATAATGAACGTGTGTACTATGTTTATATCGTAATGAACATGTGTACTATGTTTCTATCATAATGAACGTGTGTACTATGTTTATATCATAATGAACGTGTGTACTATGTTTATATCATAATGAACATGTGTACTATGTTTATATCATAATGAACATATGTACTATGTTTATATCATAATGAACATGTGTACTATGTTTATATCATAATGAACACGTGTACTATGTTTATATCATAATGAACATGTGTACTATATCATAATGAACATGTGTACTATGTTTATATCATAATGAACGTGTGTACTATGTTTATATCATAATGAACATGTGTACTATATCATAATGAACATGTGTACTATGTTTATATCATAATGAACGTGTGTACTATGTCTATATCATAATGAACGTATGTACTATGTTTATATCATAATGAACGTTTGTACTATGTTTATATCATAATGAAAATGTGTACTATGTTTATATCATAATGAACATGTGTACTATATCATAATGAACATGTGTACTATGTTTATATCATAATGAACATGTGTACTATGTTTATATCATAATGAACACGTGTACTATGTTTATATCATAATGAACACATGTACTATGTCTATATCCTAATGAACACGTGTACTATATTTATATCATAATCAATGTGTGTACTATGTTTATATCATAATGAACGTGTGTTCTATGTTTATATCATAATGACACGTGTACTATGTTTATATCATAATGAACACATGTACTATGTCTATATCCTAATGAACATGTGTACTATGTTTATATCATAATGAACATGTGTACTATGTTTATATCATAATGACCATGTGTACTATGTTTACATCATAATGAACATGTGTACTATGTCTATATCATAATGAACGTGTGTACTATGTTTATATCATAATGAACACGTGTACTATGTTTATATCATAATGAACACATGTACTATGTCTATATCCTAATGAACATGTGTACTATGTTTATATCATAATGAACATGTGTACTATGTTTATATCATAATGAACATGTGTACTATATTTATATCATAATGAACATTCATAATGAACATATGTACTATGTCTATATCATAATGAACGTGTGTACTATGTCTGTATCATAATGAACATGTGTACTATGTTTATATCATAATGAACATGTGTACTATGTTTATATCATAATGAACATGTGTACTATGTTTATATCATAATGAACATGTGTACTATGTCTATATCATTATGAACATGTGTTCTATGTTTATATCATAATGAACATGTGTACTAATGTGTTCTATGTTTATATCATAATGAACATGTGTACTAATGTGTTCTATGTTTATATCATAATGAACATGTGTACTAATGTGTTCTATGTTTATATCATAATGAACATGTGTACTATGTTCCAAGTTGATCTGACCACAACTTCACAGTAAAGTACCTTCAACCAAACTTTCAACTGGATACAGGACTTAGAAATGGATTGACACACTTGAATGATGCACAGAATGTAAGCAAGAACAAATAAAGAGCTGCACCCTGAGCTATTGATACGCCCTCCGCTTTTTCAATGAACAAAGTTCCATAACTCCTCAACGTCATATCAGAAATTTATAAAAAAAACTAAAGGGAGCTAATTTAATAGATATAAACTAGTCACCAAAGTTTAATGAAAACTGCTCAGAGCTTTTCTGAGTTATTGTCCCCCCATTTTTATGAATAAAATCCCATAACTCGGAAATGTAAAATCTAAAATTTATAAAAATCAAAAGGGAGATTACGTCAATAGATTTAAACAATTCACCAAAGTTTCATGAAAATTTGTTAAAGTGTTTTTCAGTTATTGTCTGACATGTTGATGAAGGACGGACCTTTATACCATAATACATCCCATAAACCGGCGTATAAAATTGTGATTTTTTTATTTATTGATATATATTTATATAATGATGAAAGATCCAAGTTTATCATATTTGCAATAATTTTTGTACACATCATTTTATAGGAAGTAATACTATACCTTAGAACTTGACTCGACAAGTCTTCCTAACGGCATTGGTTTGTTATTTTCTTTAGCAATTCTCTGTAAAGTTGCTAGAGCTTTCTCTGTGTGACCTCGTGTTATATCATAACGAGCACTTTCTGGCAACCACTGTAATAAACAAGTAAACAATGCATAAAATCATGTCATCGTAGCATTGGGCAACATTTATATAGTTCATGACAAAATAAAGAATACATATTGTAGCTAAGAGGAAATTGTATCATATGCATATAACTTGATTTTCATGTGTACCAATTAAAATGGATTCAGGAACAATTGAATATTGGTGGATATTTGATTTCGTTGTATTTTCCAAGTCTACATCAAAGCAGGGCTTCCAAAATTATTTTTAGCCAGCCGGACATTTTATATATTATCCCGATTTTAATCCCTTAAGACTAAATAAACAAAAGGCAATTATGGTAATCAGTTGCCGAGTTGGCCATCCCAATGATTGGCATAAAAAAAAACGATATTAAACTTTCTTTGATTCAAATTTGAAGTTCTGACGTAAACTGTTAAATTGGCAGTGCATCATTCGAAGTGTGCAACAATAAATTACATCAGCGTACTTATATTTGCCTTAGACTCTTTATTTGTGCAAAATAACGTTGTCAAAAACTTTACTTTCGTTTTTAAATCTTTTACCGGATGTTATCTTGACAATGGTAAAACATGGACCAGAGACGGATACGTAAATTCCGTGTACGTTTGCAAAGCATGAATGAGTGGAAGTAACCCGAATAATTCAATCCCTCCCCGTGATCGACTCTCCCACTCGCGAGGTTAATGTAGCCATCGTAGAGCAGTGAAATATAACGACTGAATTATTCGGGTTAGAGTGGAAGTAGCTCCTTCTACGTTATTTCTTCAAGAAAATAATGGAAATAAACGTGAGATAAAGGTATCAATGACAATTTAAGCATTTTTTGAAGAATTAGGATGCATAATTAAATTTCACACCTGCGCACATGCGCACACATGTACTAGTTCAAACAGAGACATGTCTCTAGTACAAACAACGTGTTTATGACGATGTTTCATTTTCACCTTTTTAATTTTTTCATCAAATCATATTTGTAAACGTATTTCTGAAAATTTAAATCTTTTTGACTAAATTAATTAGATGCAAACCTCTGAAATGTAAGAAAATAGCTTTGAATAGACCGATCAATGTCCGGTTCAAAATAGTTTACCTGTCACCTGAACAGGTATAAATTTCAGCTGCTCGACAACTAATTAGCCTTGATTAAAATGAGAAGGTATTAAAGTAGGGGTTGTTTTGATAGTACTTAATGATCATGTCACTTTTATGACCGGAAATGTGTGGCTGTTATTTTTAAAAGGCAAAACGTTCGGTCAAAAAGATCACGAATTATATTAAAATGACCGTCTCTTAAAGCCTTGAAAACTAAAAAGTAGATGACTGTTTCATGCTTTACCCAGCCGGACTTTTACCGGACATTATACAAATGTCCGGCGTATATGACCGTTTTGGAAGCCTTGCATCAAAGCCTATAGTACATCTTTAATTTGTTGAACATTTAAATTTGTAGTTCACTTGTACCCATGATATCTTCTCAAAAATGAACCCACTAACAATAATGAATTCTAAGTATTGTAAAGTGGTTTATATTTGTGGATATTAATTTTCATGATTTATTTTAGGTCACCCCTGATCCAGAGGCTTAATTTACACATTTTTCTTGTTCCTGTCTATAATGTTTCTCCTACATTGAATACCAAAGAAGGGGATATTAACTTTATTATAGCTTGATTGTGTAATTAGTGAAAATAAACACCACCGTCCCAGGTTAGGGGGAAGGTTTGGCACTAGCAAACATGTTTAAAGTTTTTTGTTCTCAATTTAAACACAGTATATGATGCAGACTAACAAAGACAGGTATCACTTACAGGTTACGGCTGTTAATGTTTTGCTGTAAACCTTATTTCTCTTTTTATTCATACTTACATAACAACAGATTGTAAATAGCAGTAGAGGCATAGCTGAAAATCCTAGTAAATATTTCCATCCTAGAGTAGGCATCACAGCTAAGGCTAATAATACTTCAAAACAAGCTCCTATAGCCCAAAATACCTGTCAAAATAAATAATACTTCAATACAAGCTCCTATAGCCCAAAATACCTGTAAAATAAATAATACTTCAATACAAGCTCCTATAGCCCAAAATACCTGTAAAATAAATAATACTTCAATACAAGCTCCTATCACCCAAAATACCTGTCAAAATAAATAATACTTCAATACAAGCTCCTATCACCCAAAATACCTGTCAAAATAAATAATACTTCAATCCAAGCTCCTATCACCCAAAATACCTGTAAAATAAATAATACTTCGATACAAGCTCCTATCACCCAAAATACCTGTCAAAATAAATAATACTCCAAAACAAGCTCCTATATCCAAAAATACCTGTAAAATAAATAATACTTTAAAACAAGCTCCTATAGCCCAAAATAAATAATACTTAAAAAAACAAGCTCCTATAGCCCAACATACCAGTAAAAATAAATAATACTTCAAAACAAGCTCCTATAGCCCAAAATACCTGTCAAAATAAATACTACTTCAAAACAAGCTTCTATAGCCCAAAATACCTGTCAAAATTAAAGAACCTTAGTGAGCGCGCTCACATACCCCACGTCCCCACATTGTCATTGGAGAAATAAAATAAGTGTAAGAAAAAAAAATTGAATCATAATTTCCTGTCAATATGGAAATCTACATAGTATGTCCTTATTATCTACAAAGTTTCATGAAATTCTGTTGTGTGGTTTCAGAGGAGTTGTGATGACAAACTCTTGCAAAAGTACATTGAAGCAAATAAGTTCAAAGGGGCGTAACACTAAGAAAAAAAAATGAATCGTAATTTCCTGTCGATATGCACATCTACATTGTATGTCCTTATTATCTGAAAAGATTTCATGAAATTCTGTTGTGTGGTTTGAGAGGAGTTGCGATGACAAAAGGTTGCAGTAGTATATTTGGCAAATAAGTTCAAAGGGGTGTATTTCCTGGAAAAAAATTGAATCGTAATTTCCTGTCGATATGCACATCTACATAGTATGTCCTTATTATCTGAAAAGGTTTCATGAAATTCTGTTGTGTGGTTTGAGAGGAGTTACGATGACAAAAGGTTGCAGTAGTATATTTGGCAAATAAGTTCAAAGGGGCGTAACTCCTGAAAAAAAAATTGAATCGTAATTTCCTGTCGATATGCACATCTACGTTGTATGTCCTTATTATCTGAAAAGGTTTCATGAAATTCTGTTGTGTGGTTTGAGAGGAGTTGCGATGACAAACTGTTGCAGTTGTACATTAAAGTAAATAAGTTCAAAGGGGCGTAACTCCTAGAAAAAAAATTGAATCGTAATTTCCTGTCGATATGCACAACTACATAGTATGTCCTTATTAATTAAAAAGGTTTTGTGAAATTCTGTTGTGTGGTTTGAGAGGAGTTGCGATGACAAGAAATAGGACTGACGGACGGACAGACGGACGGACGGGTCAAAAACATTATACCCTCCGCAACTCGTTGCATGGGGTATAATAAATACTACTTCAAAACAAGCTCCTATAGCCTAAAATACCTGTCAAAATAAATAATACTTAAAAACAAGCTCCTATAGCCCAAAATACCTGTCAAAATAAATAATACTTCAAAAAAAGCTCCTATAGCCAAAAATACCTTGCAAAATATAAAAAAAAGTCTTGAAATATGTGTATTTACAACAACAAAAAAACGAAAATGCCCTATTAAGTGTAAGCATCAAAGTTAATTAATACTGATGCTACCTCAAAATAAGCTCCTTATCTAAGACTAACAATTAAACACAAATCCTTAGATTCATATAACTAAACCTCATTCTGTATGTGCCAATATCACAAAGTCAGGAGCCTTTAATTCAGTGTGGTCATTGATTGCTGCCTAGATCCTATTTCATTTTTCATTTATTGGTTTTTTTTTTACATAAATACAGCTGTTGGGTTTTCATTTAAATTTGCATCACATTTTGTCATGTTGGGGCAGTTAGCTTACTTTCTACATGTATGTATATATTTATGGGCTTTGTTGTATTCTCGGTCAGCTGTATTGGCCCTCTGCCCTACGGCCCTTGGGACAAATACAGCAGACCTTGAACCAATACATGGGCCAATACAGAATCAGAAAGTTAGTAACACTATAACATTACACAAATAGATTGATGAAACAAAGAAAAAACAAACCATAAGGAATATTTTTTACTTTACAACAAAAATAATTAAACATTTATTTTCAGAACTTTGGAAACTTTTAACTGAGGTTTTTTCATTAAAATATAAGTAAGTTGCTTAACTTTTTAAACTCTGTACATTAAAGAACCAGCCAACCCTACTTTAGTTACTAATGTAAACTAATTTTTATAAGGACACAAATACCATGCTTCTTTTTGTGAAACAAGGCTATACTTCAGAATCAGTAGAGAATTTGTTTGAATCACGTTTTGAAATGAAACTCAAATCTCCAGTGCATAGTGTCTTGGTAAAATTTTGTACATTGTTTAATGTTTTCTTTGAATCAGCTCTTTTCTTTGTTTGTTTGTGCTCTATGCTCTTTTAATATGTAATCCCTCAACATGATGTAGTTGTAAGCATCTGTTTTGTTGCCAAACAATCAATAATTCTTAAGAGGGTACATACCTCTATTAAAACTACACAGGTTGCTCTTGATGCTGATGGTAGAAACTCTGCGTACAATGTTACTCTGTAAAACAATCAAAATTAATAATATCAATACTTTGCAATTTCTTATATTAAAGCCTAAATATTAAAGATCTTCAGATATAAAAAAAATCTTTTACTGTGACTTGACATTTTTTTAGCAGTTCAAAAATTACCAGTACTACCTATCACCTTTGGAATGACAATTACAATAAAAGAATGTATAGAAATTCTTATAAACATTTTCATAATATCAATGAAGTGGAATTAAAGTCTAATTGCTACCTTGCACTTTCACGACTTGACTGTGGTTTTCTACAGCAGTTTGTTAAAATTTCTGATCAGTTGAACAGTTTGGTTTGATAAAACAAATTGCAATTTGGTCAGAATTTTGAATAAACTGCAATAGGTGGAGAGCAACACTTATAGTCAAGTCACAGTAAAATCCTGGTCAAATGATGACCAACATTCTACACAAAAGGACCTGAAAGACTGAAATATTGTAGATAGATTAACAAAGGTATTTGTTAATCGAGAAAAGTAAACCAAAGTCACTGAAGCATAAAATGTAGGTCATAGTTACCAAAATATTGCAGATCAATTTTGCATGAGATAAGAGGACTGTAGGGGAGTAACATATTATATAATAAATGGGGAATGTGTCCATGGGACTTAGATGATGCCCCCACTTGCATATAACATTATAAAGGGACATAACTCAAGAAGGGTAAAATTGACGCTACCCAAATTTGTACATGATCTGAGTTTTGTGGTAATAAGCATTGTGTATAAGTTTCATAACATTTGGTTGAGGCAAACTTAAGTTAGAGAACAGGACTGAAAAATTCAGCAATTTTTCCTTTTGTAAAGGAGCATAAATCTAGAACGGTAAAAGTGATGCCATCAAAATTCAAATTTGATCGGAGTTTTGTGGTAATAAGCATTGTGCATAAGTTTCATAACATTTGGTTGAGGCAAACTAAAGTTACAGAACGGATATAATTTTGGGACGTACGAACGTACTGACAGATGGACGTACAGACAGACAAGTGTAAAACTTAATGCCCCCTCTGCTATGGCGGGGGCATAAAAATACTTATTCTCTTCTGAAAGTTGGTAGATTTTGAAGAACAATCAAATCCACTAACCATCTATGAAAACATCATCGAAATTAAGTCTAGAAGAGTACGCTCTCACTACCAGTCCCCTTAAAATGATAAAAGAACAGAGTTCCAATGTCCCCCGCGTTTCACATATTTTATCTGTTCTGTCACAAGGACAATATCTTAATAAAATTTGTTTTTGTTCTTTTAAACTTTTTAAAATTATCTTACTAGAGAGTTGAAGACTTGAGAGCAATTTCCGATATATTTAATATTTTCAAGGGAAACTTAGGGATCATAGATTTATTCTTACGAGGAAGCTCGGAGCATGCTCGGAGGATGCTCGGAGCTTTTTTAGTAGGCTCTTCTCAGCAGTTTATGTGATAATAATTATCATGATCCATTAAGATGTCAATCAAATCTATAGCACTTCTATAATAAGGAAGATAGAGCATTATAGAGGAAGCTCAATTAACACCTGTGTATTAAAACATCTGGTCTATTCAAATAAATCTTGAATGAAATTTTACAAAACTATAAAATAGATAAGAAATTCTTCAATAGAACTGTACAATGCTTGGCAAGAAATATCAAGTCTTCACAGGAAGATAATGTTTTTAAAATATTTTCTTATTTATAATCATTCTTTTTCAATACAAAAAAAAATACTCAAATTTTATATTTAAAATATAAATATAGCTTAATTAAATTTATACTACATAAAATTAAACATAAAAGTCACCAAAGACAAAAACTATGGTAGTAGATTTATAATCATTTGTTAAACTTTATATGCAACAGCAAACTTTAGTTCTTTAATAGAAAATGATGGCTACTTTGGGAAAAAGTTGTAATTCACAGGCTGGGTTGAAAGACTGTTCACAATATAATAATTATGATAAATTGATTTTACTTCAGCAATCCTCTATATCTATTTCTTGAATAAATTTTTTGATTTTGTTTTTATGATAATTAAATGGATTCAGTGGATCAAAAACTTTACAACAAAAAATTATACTTTGTTCTGGAATCCCTTTTGTCTTTTATTTTAAATTCTAGTTCTTCATTACATTGATTTGTATAAAAAATGTCAACTTATTTTTTCAAGTATCTCTTTTAAGCTTAATCAAAATGCAGAAAGTCATAATTACATTTGATATCCCTGAATGATAATTACAAGATTTCCATTTCATATAAACCTCCTTTCGCTATTTATAAATGTGAACAGAAGAGCAAATCATCATAAAATTGAGAAGTCATTTACACAATCTATTTTGCTGTCTGCTTAAAATTTAGAATTTTGATTCATTACCCTAATGCTTTAAGTCAATTGAATACCAGTTTAAAACATACTGTTATTTTATACTATGTATTATAACTGCAGTTAAAAATTCTTGTAATAATTTATTTCAAGTTAGGAAAATGGAATTTAGAAGTTTTAGTGTTTGAGGCCTAGAGAACAGGCAATTTTCTTGAATAATTTGCAGACTTGACTTATATATTCTAGGTCCCTCACTTACAAATATTTAAAGATGTATAGTAATTATAGTTCAATTTGGTTTGCTTAAAAGCATTTTTGATTCAGCATACGACTCTCATGACTGTAGGAACATGACAATAGGTAGTCACGACTATACCACTTTAGTTTAGGGGTTAAATTATTATTTATCTACCATATATAAAATAATCCAATATCATCTGTTTCTATCTTATTTTTTTATAACTGTATTTAAAATTGGAATCAATTATTATTGTTGAAGATGTTTTTTATTTAACAGCATACAGCATTTTAATATTAACAAAATATTTAATATGGAGCATAAAAGAGGATGCTCTAAGATAATTATCCCTACTGAAACTGTAAAATGGGTTATTCCCTCAAACTATAATGTTTATATAATGTATCATGCTGTGATATAAACCTTTTATAATAATGTTTTGCGCCTACACAGATTTCTAAACAGTATTATTGGACAGACTGCAGAGTGACTTGTATGAATTGAATATTAAATAACATAAAACAAGCAAAAAATAATTAATTCAACTCCAAACAACTGCCACAATGTCCTATACTAATGAACATAATTATGCCTGAAATTCTTACTAACTTTGATTTATGTTTTTTTTTTATAATTATACTCATGAAAGCTAAAAAGAAAAAAAAATAACTAGTTTGAATCTTATAGAAAAAATTTTTAGTATATATATTTATATTTTTAGGATCTGTTTTATATTGATAGTATGTACTGATAAAGGCCTATATAAAAAGACTTTCTACATACAGGTGTTAACTGAGCTTCCTCTACATTGCTTTACTTTCCTTTTGATAGAAGTTGTTTATATATATTAAAAAGTCATTCAAGAAAAGGAAATAGAGGATTGCTGAACTAAAGTCCGTTTATTTTACTCTGTTATATTGTCAAAATTCTTTCAGGTGTAATACCACCAAAATATAGTACATTCAGTTTCAAGCCAGAAATGGTTGATTTTTTTTTATATTCCATTTAATTTGACAGTTGTTGGAAATTAACCCTGCATTTTATTGCAGAAAGTTTTTTTTTGGGTTGTTAACATGTATCTTGGGTGTTTCAAAGCAATAAAAAATTCTATTGGTGTTGCTATAAAATATTTTGGAAATTTAAGGGGACATTGCTACTAAAGCTGGTAAACAGGAAAAAAAAGGGGGAGAGGAATTGGTTAACTTCTGGTGACGTTTAATATCTTATCTGCAATGAAAAGTTATGTTGTATTTTCACTGTAGTACTGGACAGGATAAAACTTCACTCATGTAGAGTATTTCTTTATTTAAAACATAGATAAATTCATCACATTTAATAAAAAAAAGGCAAATTAAACAAAGACTTATGGGGGAAAAACAATTTTATGTTAAATTTTCCCTGCAGTAATTGACAGGATAAAACTTTACTCATGCCAAATATCTCTTTATTTGAAACAAAGATGAATTCTACACAATTAAAAAAAAAGTCAATAAAACAGAGACGTACTAGGGGAAAAACAATGGTGATATCAAACCAGCCTTCCAATAATGAATTACAACTTTTCCTAAAGTAGCCATAATTTTTTATAAAAGAACTAAGTTTGCTATTTTATATATATAAAAAAAAAAACATATTACCATTGTTTAGTTAGGGGCATTACTTAAACAATTATTTTTCAAAATTACCTATGCAATTTATGTTAAAAACAATGCTATATCATATATTACTTCTATTTCATGTATAAGTAACTTATGTTAATATTATTTTTATATGTGTCCATTCATACAGGTTTTAATAGCTTTATCAAATTTTCACAGACATCTGGTTATTTTTCCCATGAAATATAAAACTAATCCTCCTGAAACACTAATTGACTTTCTGAGCCACGCTTCTGGGTCAAAGATTGTCCTCTTGGGACTATTAAAATACCATTTTCCTTTAAAATCTTAATGGTAGACAAATATAAATAGATGGAACCTTGTGATTTAATTAAGACTTGAAGTTATTTATAATGTGTAATCTAAAAGAATAACATATGTTCCATAAATAATTATAAGTGCCAAGTTTTTCAAAGATGTATAAAATAATTTATAAAAGTAATAATTTTGTCCTCATTTTTAAAGTAACCTTTTATCTCTATACTCATCTCACATTTGATAAATACTTAATTTTATTTAATAAAATTATATAAAATTTTTAAAAACTACATTTAGTCCATGCTACTATTGACATTTAAAATAACTATTGAGTTATTAAATAATTTTTAAAAACGAAAAAAATTATAAGTAACTAAAAAAAAATTTACTTGTTTAGTATCGCCCCCTGACTGTTGTTTGTGCCTTGATGACTTTTATGTAGCATATTATATAGTATTAACTATATCTAAATTATATAATCTAATTATAAAATTTAAGAATTTTTTTTATTATTAAAAAAGAATGGTTATTCAATATAATAAGAAAATATTTTAATGACTTTTACTTTTTGTGGAGACGACATTTCTTTCCAAGCATTTCCCAGTACTGTTGAAGAATTTCTAATCTATTTTATAGTTTTGTAAATTTCATGCAAAATGTATTTGAATATACCAGATGTTTACACAGGTGTTAATTGAGCTTCCTCTATAATGCTTTACTTTCCTTATTATAGAAGTGCTATAGATTTGATTGACATCTTAATAGATCATGATAATTATTGTCACATAAACTGCTGAGAAGAGCCTACTTAAAAAGCTCTGAGCATCCTCCGAGCATGCTCGGAGCTTCCTCGTAAGAATAAATCTATGATCCCTTATTAAAAATATTTGATTGGCACTTATTTTTGAAATTGTCTGAGACATTGCTGTTATATATACTTTTGAAATGAATTTTATAAAAATCAGGCAAAAATTGTATATACGAGAGCACTTACAATGCAATTTTCAATATAATCAATGTTTCCAAGGGGCATAACTGTTTTAAAAATAAGTGATCAGCACTGATTTTCAAAACTGGTTAAAGACATTGCTGATAAAAAACTATGATATAAGTTTCATAAAATTCTGGCAAGAATTGTACACATGAGAGCGCTTACAATGCAATTTTCCATATAATGAATGTTACCAATGCAAGGGGCATAACTCTTTGAAAAATAATTGATCTGCATTGATAAGTCGTTAAAGACATTGCTGATATAAACCTAAGATATAAGTTTCATAAATTCAGGCAAGAATTGTACACATGAGAGCACTAACAATGCAAGTTTCCATATAATTAATGTTTTCAAGGGGCAGAAATCTTTCAAAAAAAATTGGTTGGCACTGATTTTCGAACTGGTTAAAGACATTGCTGATATAAAACTATGATATGAGTTTCATAAAATTCTGGCAAGAATTGTATATGTGAGATTGCCTACAAGAACCAACGGACGGACGCCCGGTATTTTTATGTCCCCCACAATGCGTTGTGCAGGGGACAATAAACAACCTGACATAATTACAGAAGTAAATACTTACGATTGAGGAGCGCCACCTATACCAAAACCCACCAGTCCCCTTAGAATCAACAACCAGGCAAAGTTCGGAGAAAATGCACTCAGTATTCCAAAGTAGCAGGTAAACACGGAACATAATATCAACTCCTGTAAATAAAAACATCATTTAATGCACTCAGTATTCCAAAGTAGCTGGTAAACATGGAACATTATATCAAGAGTGCACACGCTGAAATGTCTCGCCTTCTTTACTAAACATTGATTTTATGTTGATAGTCCTAAATACAAAGCTTTACTACAAGTAACACATAAACTTAACATGATCCAAGAAAATGAGGTCAAGGTCAGATAAACCAAACGAGAAATACATGTACACCTTACAATCATTAAATAAACCAAACATAGTTGACCTATTGCTTATTGTTTCTAAGAAACAGTCTTAAACAAGAAAACTTAACATTGACCAATGAACCATGAAAATGAGGTCAAGGTCAGATGATACCTGCCAGACAGACATATACACCTTATAATCCTTCCATAAATCAAATATAGTTGATCTTTTGCTTATAGTTGAAGAAAAACAGACCAAAACACAAAAACTTAACACTGAGAAATGAACCGTGAAAATGAGGTCAAGGTCAAATAAAACCTGTGAGACTGACATGTACATCATAAAATATTTCCATACACCATTTATAGTTGACCTATTGCATATAGTATTAGAAAAAAAGACCAAAACTCAAAAACATAACTTTGACCACTGAACCATGAAAATGAAGTCAAGGTCAGATGACACCTACCAGTTGGACATGTACACCTTACAATCATTCCATATACCAAATATAGTAGACCTACTGCTTATAGTATCTGATATATGGACTTGACCACGAAAACTTAACCTTGTTCACTGATCCATGAAATGAGGTCGAGGTCAAATGAAAATTGTCTGACAGGCATGAGGACCTTGCAAGGTACGCACATACTAAATATAGTTATCCTATTACTCATAATAAGAAAGAAATTAACATTACAAAAAATGTTTTCAAGTAGTCACTGAACCATGAAAATGAGGTCAAGGACAATGGACATATGACAGACAGAAACTTCGTAACATAAGGCATTTATATACAAAGTATGAAGCATCCAGGTCTTCTAGCTTCTCAAATATAATGCTTTTAAGAAGTCAGCTAACGCCGCCGCTGCCGCTCTAGTTGCCGCTGGATCACTATCCCTATGTCGAGCTTTCTGCGACAAAAGTCGCAGGCTCGACAAAAACAAACAAAAAATGAAAAAATTATGAAATACTGGTTTTAAACAAACAAAATGATGAAATGTATCAAAATTATATTGAAACAAAAAAATATTTTGGTGTTTGCAAAAGTCTAACAGGTTTCTTTGCATAGGAAACCTGTGGAAACAAGATATGGCAGTAGAACATGAAACCTGCAGCATTATCACAAAAAGGTGGTTGACTAAAACTCCATGAAATGCAATCTCAATCTGTAAGTCATCATTGTACACTAAGGAACAAATGTAGCAAAAATCTGTTCCAGATCTGCAGGCAAAACAAACAAAAAGGTTGGGCCAGTACAATCTTCATCAAATTTTCTATGTGCAAGAATCATAATTCCACAATTTTTTATCTCAACTGGATCAAAATGCAAACTCAATCTCAAATTTTAACTCTATTTTACCAAAATCAAACTGTGCTAGGTGTCTTCCTGATCTTTAGGTGCTAGATTATATTACTCCATGTTTAAGGCATGACTGTGACTTTGAGATGATGAACAGCAATCAAACATTGTTGTTTTCTTTATGAATTGTCAAATGTGAGTAGGAATTTTGTGTCATGAATTATTCAGTCATGTCCTTTCATTTCCATTATGTAAAAATATTTAGCATAAATATGACGTATAGAATTAAGGATTTTGTATGCAGAGAAACGAGTCAAAGATTCAAACAACCATGTTTTGCAATATTTTTATGCGAGTGGAATAATTATCATAAACTTTTTATTTTAATCTGTTAAACTGGCTGTGAACTGAGCCAATGAATTACCACTGTCAAGGTGAGCATGCTATTACAACGGAGGCAATTATAATATGTAGTCATCCAAGATAGTTTTACATCAAGGTTATATAATGCCATGAACATTTTGTGAGAAAATTCCTACCTTGCAGAATGAATAAGAAAAATGTAGGGCATATGTCAATGAAACAGCAACCTAACAACACAAAAAACAAAATATTTCTTGAAGCCAATTATTGTAGGTATTCATGGATTGATGGATGTATTGACATCATGTGTAGTGGGTAAATAAAACTTACCGCTTTTCTACCATATTTGTCAGATATACTTCCCCATAAACTAGAGCTACACATCATACCAGCAAATACTACCTAAAAGAAAAAGAACTGGGTCACAGTAACCTTAAAATGTGTGGATAAAGTTTTCAAACTTGGTTAGTCAAAAATATTAATAAAGCTTTAAAGAAAATCAGCCATGGTTTTACACGTTATAACTTAAAATAGATAAGCCAACAATAATACAATGTTGTATTTACTTATCTATTCAATATCAATAATATATTTTAAATCTATTTATTATAATATATACACTGATTTAATCATTAAGAGTTGATTTCTGACAACAATTTTAGCATTTTAGCATTGTTCCTATTAAAATTTGCCTTTTTTTTGGGGTGTTTGTTTAGTTATAGAATACATTTAAGAAGGCCTTTATAATTAAAACATTGTCATTTTCCAGTTTTTATTTGTCAAACACACAAAAAACAAATTTCAATAGTAACAATGTTGAAAATTTGTCAGAAATCAACTTTTAATGTTTGAATCAGTGTTTACATTGAACAGATTGAAAATATATTATTGATATTGAATAAATACAACATCACATGCAGTTTTATGACTTGGATTACATGTATTTTCATCTACTTAGAAGATAAATTTTGCTTCAGGTAAATTAATCAATGACTGATGGATTTCTCTTAGAAGAAATTTATTGCCAACCAAATGAAACTTTTCCACAGAGTGATCTCCTATTGGTCAATCTATTTAAACTGTTGTTGGTTCTATTGTCCCATTGAATAAATACAATAGCTATATAATTGTTCTCTGAGTAGTTTATTCACTGGGACCTTCAAATTTCTTCTAAGAGAAATCCATCACTCATTGATTAATTTACCTGAGTAAATAATTATCTTCTGAAAGATGAAAATACATGTTTTAACGCAGAAAATTGCATGTGATGTTGTATTTATTCAATATTCATTATATATTTTCAATCTGTTCAATATAAACAGAGATTTAATCATAAGTTGATTTCTGACAAAATTTTTGTCATTGTTCCTATTGAAATTTTCATTTTTTTGTTTTTGTTTAGTTATAGAATACATATAATAAGAAGGCATTAATTAGAACATCATCATTTTCCAGTTTTTCTTTGTCAAACACAAAAAAACCTGCTTCGCTAAGCGAAACTGGATACGCCCGCAGAGGTCCAACCCTGAACAGTTGGGGCAAAAATGGACACAATATTCAAGCTTGATACAGGTCTGAATTTGGATTGTAATTAAATATTTGACATATTATAGATTTCTGAATAAATGTAGTCAAAGAACTTGAAATTGGTTATATGAATTAGATTTATATTCAATTAAAGATTTCTTGCTGTTGTGCAATACACTATGCTGTTGCACAATACTTAGTAAAACACAAAAAAACACAAAAAAACCTGCTTCGCTAAGCGAAACTGGATACGCCCGCAGAGGTCCAACCCTGAACAGTTGGGGCAAAAATGGACACAATATTCAAGCTTGATACAGGTCTGAATTTGGATTGTAATTAAATATTTGACATATTATAGATTTCTGAATAAATGTAGTCAAAGAACTTGAAATTGGTTATATGAATTAGATTTATATTCAATTAAAGATTTCTTGCTGTTGTGCAATACACTATGCTGTTGCACAATACTTAGTAAATCTGTTGTCAGACTATAAACAAATAAAATTTATAAAATTCTAAAGGGAGCTTACATCAATAGATATAATCAATTCACCAAAGTTTCATAAAAATTGCTGAAAGCATTTTTGAGTTATTGTCTGAAAACTGGAAAATCCCCCCTTTTTTAATGAATAAAACCCCATAACTCAAAAATGTAAAATCTAAAATTTATAAAATTCTAAAGGGAGCTTACGTCAATAGATATCAACAATTCATCAAAGTTTCATGAGAACTGCTGAAAGCATTTTTGAGTTATTGTCCGAAAACTGGAAAATCCCCCTTTTTTTTATGAATAAAACCCCGTAACTTGGAAACGTAAAATCTAAAATTTATAAAAATCAAAAGGGAGCTCATGTCAATAGATATAAACAGTTAATCAAAATTTCTTGCAAGTTGGTGAAAGCAATCTTGAGTTATTGTCCGAAAACTGGAAAATCCCCCTTTTTTTAATGAATAAAACCCCGTAACTCGGAAACGTAAAATCTAAAATTTATAAAAAACGAAAGGGAACTCACGTCAATAGATACAAACAATTCACCAAAGTTTTATGCAAATTGGTTAAAGCGTTTTTGAGTTAATGTCTGACATGCTGACGACGGATGGACGGACAGAGGTATACCATAATACATCCCGTAAACGGGCGTATAAAAACCAATTTCAATAGTAACAATGTTGAAAAATTTTGTCAGAAGTTTACTGGGAACCCAATGAAACTTTTCCATTTTTGGTCCATCTGTTAAAACTTCCAATAGATGACTCTCTTGAAAAGTGTCATTTGGTTCGCAATGAAGGTCCCAGACTAACAGTCCCAGTGAATAAACTACACAGAGAACAATAGCGAATAAACTACACAAAGAACAATAGTTAGCTACTGTATTTATTCAATGGGGCAATTGAACTGACAAAAAGTTTAAATACCTTGAACAAGAGATGACTCTGTGGAAAACTTTCATTTGGTTCGCAATAATACAGATGAGACATAAAATATGTTCACAACAAAAATTTGTCAAATTCCATTATTATTCCATTATTATTAATAAATGAATATTTAACATAAGTCTCAAAGCAAAAAAACTCGTAAATAAATATAATTAGTGTAAAGAATTTAATATTGATTCTTTTTTATTTAAAGATGTCAGCAGATCTGATTTTGGGTAAAATATGGTTTTCTTTCTTTTTCTGGAACACACTTATTTCAGCTTCCTTGATAAAGATATCAGTGCATCAACGAAAACAAATGTTTGTTGTGTACGTTCTCATTCTTTAGTTTGGTGGATTATTGTTTCATTGCCAATCACACCACATCTTCATAAATCTATGTAAAAATGTATACTGACATTCTCTATAAAAGTTTGTTCTAAACCTTTCAATTGCCTGACTAACAGGGATAATATGTGGTGAGGGAAAGAAACAAACATTTCATTGTTTACTTACAGTTGTTATAAAAGCTAGTTGCCAGCCTTTTAATTGCCTGACTGACAGGGATGCTAGGTGCATGGTTAGGGAAAGAAACAAACATTTCATTGTTTACTTACAGTTGTTATAAGAGCTTGTTGCCAGCCTTTTAATTGCCATTCACAATGCAAGGCAGGAGATAAAATGGCTAAAATCATCATTTCCATAGCATCAGCCATCTATTTAATCAGAAATTTCATTTAAAAATCATGTCAATATAGAATCATTAAACAGAGTTCTAACTAAGAGGAGACAATCAGTCCTGGACTCATGAAAATCTGTCTTGACTGAACATTTTGAAAATTAGTGACCTCAAAGATGCATCAAGATTGTAAAATGTTGTATCAACTGAGCACAAATACCATCATTTTATGACAAAAGTTTTAAAAATAATCAAAAGTTTATTTCATTTCCTTGCTCCATTTCATCATGAGGATTGAAATAACTAGACATCATTGAGATGGGAGCCATCTCTGTGGGCCCGCTGTGAATAACGTGTTTTTGACCTTGACCTTTGACCTAGGAAGTTGTACATACATTATGAAACACCCTCTGGTGTTGGTTAATATACATGTCAAGTATAAACTTTGTAATCATAACGGTTCTCAAGATATAGAGCGGACACGATCTTTACCATAGGACATGGGGTTGTCAACTAAAACCAAAGTTTTTGACCTTGACCTTTGACCTAGGAAGTTGTACATACATTATGACACACCCTCAGGTGTTGGTTAATATACATGTAAAGTATAAACTTTGAAATCATAAAGGTTCTCAAGATATAGAGCGGACACGATCTTTACCATAGGACATGGGGTTGTCAACTGAAACCAAAGTTTTTGACCTTGACCTTTGGCCTAGGAAGTTGTACATACATTATGACACACCCTCTGGTGTTGGTTAATATACATGTCCAGTATAAACTTTGAAATCATAAAGGTTCTCAAGATATAGAGCGGACACAACTTTACCATAGGACATGGGGTTGTCAACTGAAACCAAAGTTTTTGACCTTGACCTTTGACCTAGGAAGTTGTTCAAACATTATGACACACCCTCTGGTGTTGGTTAAGATACATGTCAAGTAAAAAGTATGAAATCATAATGGTTCTCTAGATATAGAGCAGACAGAATTTGTTACAGACGGACAGACGGAAGTAGAGCCGGACGGACGGACAGACTGATCACTATAGGGCAAACCGCCATACTGCTGGGCCCTAATAAATAAGAAAGTAATAAAATTTCATCTTCCCACTTTAAGACTTGCCATGGCCAAAAAATGATGAGTCCCTGGACTTGTCTTCAAAAATCCTTAGTGAGAACCCTGAATTCATATAAAGTTGTTTTTAATGCTCTATATTATATCTGTTGAAGCTTTGGCTAATTTCAATGTTGCTCTTCAGTTTTATGTGTCTCAATCATCTCTGGTGGATAATGAGTGATGTACAAGAGGAAGAACAGCAATAAAAGTCTAGTGTCCTTGCTTCTGTTGAGATTTCTTGTACATTTTCATGTATTGTCTTATCAATCATAAATTATTTCATTAAATCTCAAAATAAAAGTTGGCATATGTGGCACAGTGGCAATAGCCACTTAGATTCCATTTCAAAGAATTTAAGCAAATACAACATAATCATTACTTTAAAAATTAAGGTACAATAAAAGGGCTTTGACACAGATTCTTGTAAAATTTTGCATACAATTTTGGCTCGTGATTACTGAAAATAGACAAAATAATGAATGTTCATCTTTTATTTTCAGTAATATTACAAAATGATTTTTTTCAAAATAGATAAACTTGAATAGAAAGCATATAAAATTGGAGAAAAAGATCTAAAATCATCAAATATCAAATTACAAGATCATAGATTTTTCTTTAAAATTGATATGTCCTTGATCATGTTGATACATATCTGTTTATAAAAAATAATAATAGGGTCACTGACTTTTTTTTGTCTGTATAACTGTATTTAACAATCTTTCTTGTTGCAATTGAAAAACTTTTAAAAAATCAACATTTTATGGCTTCTAATGCGATGATGTGACCCTTTTTCTGACATTTTATGGTATTTTTTCACCTAAAACAAAACTTTCAATGATGTGTACCTTAAAATCAAAATCTGTGACCCTATTTTTATTTTTACTTTATTTAATTATCTAAATGGAAATCTCTGTATCAACATCATATCAACTTTAAAGAAATACCTACGGTGTTTGATCTGACATATAGACTTACCCATGCAAAACCTGTTAGAATGGATAACTTGACTTGAAATTTTCCAAACCCTATATTATCTATTGCTTGCTGTATTGTGTAAGTATCTAAAAATTATAAATATAACATTACTTCTTTAAATTTATTGTAATGATAATTGAAATGATAATTGAAATGATAATTGTAATGATAATTGTAATGATAGTTGTAATACATCAGTTGAGCACATATGAATGTAAAAAGTTGAACATGATTTTTTTCTTTTAGTAGAAGGAAGGTTAATTGCTTCTGTAGTTTCTTTGCTGTGAGTAGCCATAGATTTCATCTGTTTCCACAAAAACACTTCTAAAATCTCTGCTATGTATTCAGTACTTAATTTTAAAAGCAAAGACTGGTTAGAAGAATATGTCCAGGTAGGGTGACATGACTTATATCCTGACATCCTTTTATAACTGATTCAAGAGTCTAGATGATGATGATGGATGACTGCTTAACGTCTAGCGGCAAATTAATATGCATATTCAGGACCAGAACATGTTCATGTTCGTGTTATATAAATATAAACCCTGCTTTGTACCTGACCAACATGCTGAGACGGATTTTTAACATGCTAGTTAACAATGTAACAGTCCACAGGAAGACATGTCACCTTGACCGGACACATTATTTTGACTCTGAGCTGACCAGTCTTTGCTCTTACTTTTTAACCTGCTTAATGCCGCAAGCCTAGTGGAGAAGCAGCAAATACCATAAAGTCCTTGGTTTCACCCGGCCAGGGTTCGAATCCATGATCTCTCACACTTGAAGCAAACACGCTACCCCGAGACCACCGAGGCAGTCAAGGATCTATAAATATTGTGAATCAACAGAAGCTACTAAAGATATGTCATGAACAAGAAATCAGTAAAGGAATAAAAACACTCGAGGCAAACACACTACCGTGAGACGACCAAGGCAGTCAAGAGTCTGTAAATATTGTGAATTAACAGAACCTACTAAAGATCTGTCTTCAACACCCACAACCTCCTGCTATTAAGCTCATAAACATGAAATGAGTAATTAAAGTCATGAACGAGAAATGAGTAATTAAACTCGTGTACCTAAAATGAGTACTTAAACTCATAAATGTGAAATGAGTAATTAAACTCATGAATGTGAAATGCGTTATAAAACTCATGAATGTGAAATGAGTGCATCAACTCAACATGCTGCTTCTTTTTTAAATGATTTAAGTTTCAGCAGATATTGCACACATATAATTGTTAGTTTCATATGTTGCATATATATTTTGAATATTTTTTGAATATCATATTGATCCTGTATGGAATACCGTCCAGTTTGTGTATTTTTAAAATGCTTGTTAATTTTTTTACTTTAAACATGCCATATGACGTTATTACATTAAAGCTGACTTTCCTATTGCACTTTTAAACATGAATTACAATCTCTTTCAGAAATAAGACTAAGATTACAGACCAGTAAAAGGCAATCAATTGTATTAGAAAAAGGAAATGACATTTGTAAAATCAGTCATTTGTGGGTTTACAGTTCCTAATCATGTCTGTATTGATTAAATGTCGAGAATCGTTAGTTCACATCTTTAGAAAATATAAACAGCCTTCACTATTGATGATGAGGCTATATTTGTCAACAATATGTTTCATATATTGAGTCCTTTTATCAAAAGTAGTGGAGAACAATTAATCTTATTTTGTCTATATAGCACATTTCCATCAAGTAGTTTTTTCAACAACAAGAAAAATTAAGGAGAGCCAGAAGATAAAAAATTCAGTTGAGGATATTCTTCTTAATGCCAAAAGAAAATTCAAAATTAAAGATGTTAAACTAGCAAGGAGCAAACCTTTTAACCATAGTCAGTATAAATGTTTGAACATTTCCTGTACTATGAATAGAAATAAAAGGGGTCTGCTTCCATGACAGCAATCCAACAACTTAAATAATTAAAAGACATCTGCTATGACCCAACATTTGTTGAAGACGCTATGAGATCTAGTGTTTTTGTTATTATTGTTGGTTTGCTGTCTTATACATATATAAAAAAATCGATAAAGATAAAAGATTTTGTGGGCAGTGTAAAAATATGCAGGTTGAAGACGAGTTTTATTTTTTAATGGAATGCACTGCAGCCGAAAAGGAAAGGAATTTTATTCTTAATGATGAAGCATGCATTCAATGTTAAAACTTCCCTTATATTTCAAAGTATGAACGGTTTATTTGGTTAATGTCAATTTAGAGTGAGTCTGAAAATGTTAATATGTCAGTGTCAAGATTTATTAGTACTTGTTTTGAAATAAGAGAAAATTTGCAATCCAGAAACTAAATATACATGTAGTAGTGATGTAGTTTTTTTTTATGTCTTAGAGAGGGTTAATATTCTATTTTATTTATTTTCAAACACCATCTGGTATGGAGTATAGTTATTTATTCATTTATTTTTAATGTAATATATCGTAATCAAAGTACTGAAATACTGAACATCAGATGACCGCAAGTTCTAGTGGATGGTCACAAGCACTTAATTGTCTCAGAAAAAAAATCACATCTCTATACCTGAAAGGTAGGTTAAGGAACATAGATATATTTTTTTCTGAGACAAGTTCCTGTGTGGATGATGAATAAATGACAAGGAATTCAACCTCACCGTTATAACTATTATATAGTAGTGATATAATCATTTGTTATCAGTATACTCTGGTTTGTTGTTATATATTATATTAATATTTGTATAACAGTTATATATAATTTTCATCCATTTGTATATCATTCTATTCTACTATTCTAATTGCAATGCATGGTGGACACTCTTCTGTAATAATTCGTTTTTCTAATAGATTGGATTTGAGTAGACATTCATATTTTCCCGCGTTTGTTACAAAACCTTATTGAGATATTCTTCCGCATGCATTAACACAAATTTTCGGTATTCTTGATTTGTTATTGATATATAACATTTTCATATCATTTATCTATGTTCTTAAAAATTATTTTCATGAATATTTATTGATGAAATTAATATATAACAAGCAATAAGGAATGTTATTTTGCACTTGATAATATCCGCGCGTAATTATACGGAATACGTTCGGTTATCAGTCAAAATTCAATTCTTGATTAAATCAAACAAAGTTTAATTTTGGACCCTTTGGACCTCAATGTAGACCAATTTAATTAAGGGCCCAATATCAAAAATCTAAATACACGGTTAGATTCAGCATATTAAAGAACCCCAAGAAATCCAGACTTTGAATTAAACCCCATTGAAATTGGTCGAGAAATAAGCAATTTATACACATTATTAGAAAAGTATTGTTTTTGGTCCCTTTTTTCCTAAACATTAAGGGTTATAACCCCCAAAATCAATCCCAACCTTCCTTTTTTGGGTATGGAACCAAGTGGTACAATTTCATAGCAATCCATAGACTTATACTGAAGTTATTGCCTAGAAAATCCTTTTTTTTTTTTGCCCCTTTTCTGCCCCTAATTCCTGAACGGTTTGGGCCATGAACCCCAAAAGAAATCCCAACCTTCCTTTTGAGGTATTGAACCTTGTGGTAAAATTTTATAGAGATCCATACACATACTGTATAGTGGGTTTTTTTGCAAATGTAAAATTTCACGATTTAGGGGCAACAAAGTATACGAAAAATGTTGGCGGTTTTTATTCTGGCGGAATCTTAATTAATATTAATGATTAAATAATTTTTTCGATTTGAATGACGTCTAATTTACTGATTTTATTCTGATACAGTTAATCAATAGACTACTGGTAACTTAGATATTTGTCACATGTGTACAAAATACGTGTAAATGTTACAGTTGATTAATTATGAAATTGACCGGACCTTTGATGTGCTTATTACAAATGTAGGTTTGTTTAGGGGCCAGCTGAAGCCCACTTCCGGGTGCAGGATTTTCTCCCTGTGTTGAAGACCCATTGGTGGCCTTCGGCTGTTTTCTGCTCTTTGGTCGGGTTGTTGTCTCTTTGACACATTCCCCATTTCCATTCTCAATTTTATAACATTATCAAGAGGGAACTCATAACTCTTATATAATTTGACACTAGTAAATAAGGGTAAAATACCTGACTGAGTACTTTACATCCCTTAAATCTTTGACACAAATTAATAAGGGTATTAACAACGTCATTTTATAAAATACATGCATGTATAATGCCCTTTGGCATTTATGTTGTTAAAACTAACGTATACCGTTATTGACCTACGTAAGATCGTTCACAAAATGCTTTATCTATTAGGAAGTACAGAGCGTATGCATAAATGTTTGCAGAATTTGCAGAATTTATTTTCGCCATTTTCATTTAACCGCCATAATAAGCGAAAATGAACACCCAGCAAAAATAACCCACTATACAATATACACAAGTTATTGTCCTGAAACAAGAAAAAATTTCATAGAGATCCAAATACTCAAGTTATTGTCTGGAAAGCAAATGTTTTCGGACGACAACGACACTGACAATGTCATAACATTATACGAACGCAAAAATTTGCAGTCGTATAAAAATAAAATGATGTGGTATGATTGCCAATGAGACACTTCTCAGCCAGAGACCAAATGACATGGAAGTTAACAAATATACACAAATGTAGGTCAAGGTATGGCCTTCAACAGTGAGCAATACCACATCTTCTTATTTTTATATATAAATATAAATGTACATGTATGTTTTTTCTTGTTGGGTTGCTAATTATTTACAAATACTCTACATTTCCTTTTATTCATAAAAAATTTTAAAAAAAAACAATATAAATATTTAACCATCAGTGACCTTAACAAATGTGCAGTATGATATCATCACCAATAATCAATGTCTCTGTAAATTTCACATATTTATTGTGGAACTCTATCTTTATTATTTCACTGTGTATAACGGAAAATCCAATTTTTGTTGACACAACATGTAATGGGATCTTTATCGGAAAATATTATCTTTTAAAATATTTGTATAATTAAAACCTTGGGATAATACAATGTTTTGCATTCTATTTTATTTTGCTTAAAGTTTTTCTAAAAAAATTTGGTAAAAATACAGAAAATAAACCCCATCCCTACCCCAATTGATAACAAATGTTTAAAGAGAATTTAAGGCGGTACAGTTGCCTATAATTGCTTACATCCATTTCATTTGAACTTTGGTGGCTAGTTGTTTCATTGGCAATCATACCAAATCTTCTTATTTTTATATTAAGAATATTTCTATGAATGGCCTAACACTGAAATTTTTACTGCCAGTATTTAATATATGTGAAGTATTTAATATATGTGAAGTATAAGACATGTAGGTCTGAGGTACAAATCAATGTGTGATTGTGAATGATCTCTAATTCAGATGCATCTATTGAGGGATACGTGTGGTAAGGTTTACATGTTGTATGTCCTTCAGGTTGATGTTCTGTTGAGGGATACGTGAATTAAGGTTTACATGTATGTCCTCAGGTTGATGTTCTGTTGAGGGATACATGTGGTAAGGTTTACATGTATGTCCTTCAGGTTGATGTTCTGTTGAGAGATACATGTGGTAAGGTTTACATGTTGGTCCTTCAGGTTGATGTTCTGTTGAGAGATACATGTGGTAAGGTTTACATGTATTTCCTTCAGGTTGATGTTCTGTTGAGAGATACATGTGGTAAGGTTTACATGTTGGTCCTTCAGGTTGATGTTCTGTTGAGGGATACATGTGGTAAGGTTTACATGTTGGTCCTTCAGGTTGATGTTCTGTTGAGGGATACGTGTGGTAAGGTTTACATGTATGTCCTCAGGTTGATGTTCTGTTGAGAGATACATGTGGTAAGGTTTACATGTATGTCCTTCAGGTTGATGTTCTGTTGAGAGATACATGTGGTAAGGTTTACATGTTGGTCCTTCAGGTTGATGTTCTGTTGAGGGATACGTGTGGTAAGGTTTACATGTATGTCCTCAGGTTGATGTTCTGTTGAGAGATACATGTGGTAAGGTTTACATGTATGTCCTTCAGGTTGATGTATCTGTTGAGGGATACGTGTGGTAAGGTTTACATGTTGGTCCTTCAGGTTGATGTTCTGTTGAGAGATACATGTGGTAAGGTTTACATGTTGTTCCTTCAGGTTGATGTATCTGTTGAGGGATACATGTGGTAAGGTTTACATGTATGTCCTTCAGGTTGATGTTCTGTTGAGAGATACATGTGGTAAGGTTTACATGTTGTTCCTTCAGGTTGATGTTCTGTTGAGAGATACATGTGGTAAGGTTTACATGTATGTCCTTCAGGTTGATGTTCTGTTGAGAGATACATGTGGTAAGGTTTACATGTTGGTCCTTCAGGTTGATGTTCTGTTGAGGGATACGTGTGGTAAGGTTTACATGTTGGTCCTTCAGGTTGATGTTCTGTTGAGGGATACGTGTGGTAAGGTTTACATGTATGTCCTTCAGGTTGATGTTCTATTGAGGGATATGTGTGGTAAGGTTTACATGTATGCCCTTCAGGTTGATGTTCTGTTGAGGGATACATGTGGTAAGGTTTACATGTTGGTCCTTCAGGTTGATGTTCTGTTGAGGGATACATGTGGTAAGGTTTACATGTACGTCCTTCAGGTTGATGTTCTGTTGAGGGATACATGTGGTAAGGTTTACATGTTGGTCCTTTAGGTTGATGTTCTGTTGAGGGATACATGTGGTAAGGTTTACATGTATGTCCTTCAGGTTGATGTTCTGTTGAGGGATACATGTGGTAAGGTTTACATGTTGTTCCTTCAGGTTGATGTTCTGTTGAGGGATACGTGTGGTAAGGTTTACATGTTGGTCCTTCAGGTTGATGTTCTGTTGAGAGATACATGTGGTAAGGTTTACATGTTGGTCCTTCAGGTTGATGTTCTGTTGAGGGATACATGTGGTAAGGTTTACATGTTGGTCCTTCAGGTTGATGTTCTGTTGAGGGATACATGTGGTAAGGTTTACATGTTGGTCCTTCAGGTTGATGTTCTGTTGAGGGATACATGTGGTAAGGTTTACATGTTGGTCCTTCAGGTTGATGTTCTGTTGAGGGATACATGTGATAAGGTTTACATGTATGTCCTTCAGGTTGATGTTCTGTTGAGGGATACGTGTGGTAAGGTTTACATGTTGGTCCTTCAGGTTGATGTTCTGTTGAGGGATACATGTGGTAAGTTTTACATGTTGGTCCCTCAGGTTGATGTTCTGTTGAGGGATACGTGTGGTAAGGTTTACATGTATGTCCTTCAGGTTGATGTTCTGTTGAGGGATACATGTGGTAAGGTTTACATGTTGGTCCTTCAGGTTGATGTTCTGTTGAGGGATACATGTGGTAAGGTTTACATGTTGGTCCCTCAGGTTGATGTTCTGTTGAGGGATACATGTGGTAAGGTTTACATGTTGGTCCTTCAGGTTGATGTTCTGTTGAGGGATACATGTGGTAAGGTTTACATGTATGTCCTTCAGGTTGATGTTCTGTTGAAGGATACATGTGGTAAGGTTTACATGTTGGTCCTTCAGGTTGATGTTCTGTTGAGGGATACGTGTGGTAAGGTTTACATGTTGGTCCTTTAGGTTGATGTTCTGTTGAGGGATACGTGTGGTAAGGTTTACATGTTGGTCCTTCAGGTTGATGTTCTGTTGAGGGATACGTGTGGTAAGGTTTACATGTTGGTCCTTCAGGTTGATGTTCTGTTGAGGGATACGTGTGGTAAGGTTTACATGTACGTCCTTCAGGTTGATGTTCTGTTGAGGGATACATGTGGTAAGGTTTACATGTTGGTCCTTCAGGTTGATGTTCTGTTGAGGGATACATGTGGTAAGGTTTACATGTATGTCCTTCAGGTTGATGTTCTGTTGAGAGATACATGTGGTAAGGTTTACATGTTGGTCCTTCAGGTTGATGTTCCCTTGAGGGATACGTGTGGTAAGGTTTACATGTTGGTCCTTCAGGTTGATGTTCCCTTAAGGGATACGTGTGGTAAGGTTTACATGTTGGTCCTTCAGGTTGATGTTCCCTTGAGGGATACATGTGGTAAGGTTTACATGTATGTCCTTCAGGTTGATGTTCTGTTGAGAGATACATGTGGTTAGGTTTACATGTTGGTCCTTCAGGTTGATGTTCCCTTGAGGGATACGTGTGGTAAGGTTTACATGTTGGTCCTTCAGGTTGATGTTCCCTTGAGGGATACGTGTGGTAAGGTTTACATGTTGGTCCTTCAGGTTGATGTTCCCTTGAGGGATACGTGTGGTAAGGTTTACATGTTTGTCCTTTAAATTGATGTAATAAAAAGAGGACAGTACACATGAAGTGGTTCTGTTCAAAATCACCCTTGCTGATGCAGAGTGAATTTTAGGCCAACACAGGGACTGCGGGTGATGTAGAGTGATTGCACTCTGATCATTTATGACCTTGTCTTATACATTTGATTGCATGCACATAAATATATTTTAGATATGTTAGAGTGAATCATCCACAATCAACAGCATTTATCATGAAAAATCACGATCAAGATGAATTTTTAACTACATCACTTTGTGCACTGAGTGTTCCATATCACTGGCTTGATTTATTAACCTTCTGGAAAGTTACATTATTAAAGAGAAAGCTGAATGAAAAAGTCATGGAGGTCATGGATTTTACCTTCAGATGAGAGGTCATGGATCTTACCTGGACAAATCAAATTGATCAAATTTGTGCTAGCATTTCATCAAGAATATACCTTTTTTCTAAATCAAAGAAATTTTTAGATATTAATGCCAGAAAAGCATATTCATATTTTTTCTATACCACCAGTGATCACGAATGAGCTATTTAATGAGTTAACAAAACTTGATATAAACAAAGCATCTGGTATGGATAATATTGGACCAAAAATCCTAAGATTAAGTGCCCCTTTTATTGCATCACCTCTCACATACATATTTAACCGAATGATAGATACTGGCATATATCCTTCTTTACTGAAGAATGCTAAGGTAACACCAGTTTTCAAGGATGGTGACAAGCTTTTAGCAACAAATTACAGACCTATATCTGTTCTTCCAACTTTATCAAAATTAATAGAAAGACAAGTTTCTAATAATATGTACAAATACTTATCTAAACTTAAACTTTTACACCCTACACAATCTGGTTTCAGGCCGCAGCATTCTTGTCAAACTGCACTTATTAATATCATTGACAAATGGTTGCAAGAAATGAATGATGGTAATTAAAACCTAGCAATTTTATTAGATTTTAAAAAAGCTTTTGATTTGGTAGATCATGACATTCTTTGTTTAAAGCTTGAAATTTATGGATTTAGTGAGGCTACTGTTAGTTTTTTTCAAGTCATACCTGAATAACAGAAAACAGTAGGTAAACATTTGTAATGTTTATTCTGAACAACAACATGTAAAATTTGGTGTCCCCCAAGGTTCTATACTTGGTCCTCTATTGTTTGTGCTATTTATAAACGATTTTCCCTTATGCATTGAAAATTGTGAAACAGACCTATATGCTGATGACACCACTCTTCATAAATCAGAGAAAAACATAGAAAATATACATGATGATGTTCAAGAAGATTTATACAGGGTTGAAGAGTGGTGCAAAATGAATAACATGTTCATTAATGCAAATAAAACAAAATGTTTGGTTACTGGAACAAAGCAGAAACTATCAATTCAGACTTATCAACCAAACTTGATAATATATTCAAAAGTATTACAAAATTCTTCATGTGAAAAATTATCAGGTGTTAAAATTGACAGCACACTTAACTGGAGAAATCAAATTGACCAAGTTTGTGCTAACATATCATCCAGAATATACCTTCTTTCTAAAATAAAGAAATTTTTAGATATAAATGCACGGAAAACATATTACAATGGGTATATTCTGCCCCTAATTGACTACTGCTGTATTATTTGGGGTGAATGTAACTAGAGGCTCTCAAGAGCCTGTGTCGCTCACCTGTATTTACTGATGCTTTGGAAATCATGTAAAATAAGGTTAAAATCATAATTAATAGTATTAGATATTAGATATTATAATGATATCTAAGATAATAACAAAAAACTGCAAAATTTTTGTAAAATTACTAACTCAGGGGAAGCAACCCAACACCGGGTTGTCGGATTCGTATGAAAATTTCAGGGCAGATAAATCTAAATCTGATGAACATTTTTGCCACCTGTCAGATTTACTCTAAATGCTTTGGTTTCAGAGATATAAGCCAAAATCTACATTTTACCCCTATGTTCTATTTTTAGCCATCTTGGTTGGTTGGCGGGGTCATCGGACACATTTTTTAAACTAGATACCCTAATAATGATTGTGGCCAAGTTTGGTTAAATTTGGTCCAGTGGTTTCAGAGGAGAAGATTTTTGTAAAAAGCTAACGACGACGGACGACGACAACGGACGACGGACGCCAAGTGATGAGAAAAGCTCACTTGGCCCTTCGGGCCAGGTGAGCTAAAAATGAAGGGATAACAAGAATTTTAAAACTCCAAAAAAGGGCAGCAAGATTAATTCTAGATGCAGATCCTTTAATGGGACCTTTATCCCCCTCAGCCCCCTTATTTAAAAAACTTGGGTGGATGACAGTTGACAATAGAATAAAATACCACAAATATTTACTTCTATATAAATGTATGCGTATGGAACCACCAATGTACCTAGTTCAAAAGTTTAAACTGAAATCAGATAATAATCCTTACTCCTTGAGAGGTGTCACTCAAGGTAATCTGATAGTTCCTAAGCCAAAAGCTGAGCTATTTAAGAAATCTTTTGTTTATTCTGGATCAGTGTTATGGAATGGACTACCACACAAAATGCGTAAAGCTCAAAACACTTATAATTTTAAACAAAGTATCAAGAAGTACTTAACACAGTCCTGATAACATGGATAAGATTATGTTTTCTACAATGTATTTGTATATTTTTTTTTTTTTTTTTTTTATTTGATTTTTTGACTACATATATATCATGTACATCTTGAACAGCTTTATATCTTATCATGTTAACAATATTACATTGAACTACTTGACTGTAAATTAACTATGTGTAAATATCTGTTTTTGATTGTATTGTAATTTGTATGTGAGGGCCTCAGGTAAGATTAGTTTATTGTAACTAACTGAGTTTACCCTCTTTAAATAAAGAATTTATTATTATTATTATTATTATATTATAATGGGTATATTCTGCCGCTCATCAATTACTGCTGTATTGTTTGGGGAGAATATAAAAATGAAGTTATAATAAAAATATTGAAACTTCAAAAAAGAGCAGCATGATTAATTCTTGATGCAGACCCTTTATCCCCATCAGCCCCCTTATTTAAAGAACTTGGATGGATGACAGTAGAAAATAGAATCAAATACCACAAATATTTACTGCTATATAAATGTATGCGGAAAGAAGCACCACAGTACCTACTTCAAAAGTTTCAACTTATATCTGTTAATAATCCTTATGCTTTAAGGGGTGTTACTCAAGGTAATTTGATAGTTACTAAGCCAAAAACTGAACTGTTTAAAAAATCTTTTGCTTATTCTGGATCAGTTTTATGGAACGGACTACCATATGAAATGCGTAAAGTGCAAAACAATTTTTGTTTTAAACAAATTATAAAACGATACTTGAGGCAGTCCCAATATTCAGTCTTGAAATGATTGCAACTATTACTTTTTTAGAATGTATGATTTTGATTTGTATATAATATCTATTTACTACATGCACTCTGTAACTGTTTTATATGTTCTAATGGTACATGTACACTGAACAATCATGATTAAATGATTATGAACTGACTATGTGTTAATATGTTGTATGTTTGCTTATTTTCTCTTATTATTATTTTTTTACTTGTATTGTATATGAGGGCCTCAGGGAAGATTAGTAATTGTAACTAACTGTGTTTACCCTCTTTACATAAAGAATTTATTATTATTATCATTATTATTATTTTTACCTTCAGATGAGAGGTCATGCATGGATCTTACCTTCAGATGAGAGGCAATAGATCTTACTTTCAGATGAGAGGCCATGGATCTTACCTTCAGATTAGAGGTCATGCATGGATCTTACCTTCAGATGAGAGGCCATGGATCTTATCTTCAGATTAGAGGTCATGCATGGATCTTACCTTCAGATGAGGCCATGGATCTTATCTTCAGATGAGAGGTCATGCATGGATCTTACCTTCAGATGAGATGCCATAGATCTTACCTTCAGATGAGAGGTCATGCATATAGATCTTACTTTCAGATCAGATGTCATGGATCTTACCTTCAGATGAAAGGACATGGATCTTACTTTCAGATGAGAGGTCATGGATCTTACTTTCAGATGAGAGGTCATGCATGGATCTTACCTTCAGATGAATCTGTTGAAGGTTCCCCTTCTTCCACTGGGCTCAGATTATGGCGCAACTCCTTCAAGCTTGTATAGCTATCAGTACCTCCTGTCCCATCCTCTATCCCTGCGGCCCTTCTCATGGCGGGATCGGTTAAATCCATGTCCATCTTATCCTCACCAGATATATCCTCATAGTTGTCACTCCCCTTTTTGTACTTGAATCGGTTCAACATGGTTGCTTCGTTACTATTTCTTGTGTTAATTTTCTACATCTCTATCTGAAAAATGAAATGTAATGTTTTGTTTTTTCATCACAATGCTGAGGGTTACAATTTGTTGATGCAAGTCTGAGGTCCTAATTAACTTGACTGATGTTCTGAGAGCACTACTCAGACTGCCTGACATTTCCTTTTCAATAGCTTGTTCTAATTTTTTTACAGATTAATTAATTTTATGTACATGTATTAACATTAAATATGTTCAAAAAGAGGGACGAAAGATACCAGAGGGACAGTCAAACTCATAGATCGAAAACAAACTGACAACGCCATGGCCAAAAATAAAAAGACAAACAGACAAATAATAGTACAGATGACACAACATAGAAAACTAAAGACTAGGCAACACGAACCCCACCAAAAACTGGGGGTGATCTCAGGTGCTCCGGAAGGGTAAGCAGATCCTGCTCCACATGTGGCACCCGTCGTGTTGCTTATGTTATTACAAATTCGGTAAATAGTCTAATTCGGTAGGTCACATTCGTGAAAAGGGAAGGGTATTGTAGTTATGACATAAGGAACATATCCGATATCATCTGTGAAATGGTTATTCCATAACGCTCAACCAACTCGTGAACATGACGTGTAAAAATTATTTACTAGAAAATACTGCAAAAGCAACAGTTACTTGAATGTTTTAAAACTTAATTACTTATATCTACATGAACCAATGAGGATTGTTTTTCCAGTTCATTTTATATAAATTTTAAAAATCAATACTTGGTTCAAGATTCAAACATATTTGACAAAAATATAGTGAAACACATGAAAAATGCAACAATTTTACTTAAATGATGGTCATGGATATTCTTAAACAGTCAGGGGACTTACTTAAATGAGTGATTTTCTAAATCACTGATTCAAGTAACATTATGTCCATAAAGGTTGGAAGTAAGAGTAGTCTTTCTTTAATAATCACCTATTTAAGTAGTACAAATTAATCACTAGACTAAGTGATTTAATTTTATTGTAGCTTTAAATATAGAATACTAATGATCCAGGGACTAATTATGTTGCTAAAATTATCAGAACCAACATCTGTGTTGATAGGATGACCGGGTCATGTCAGGTGATTACCTTGTACTAAATCTAGGATAATGACATAAAAATCACTTGTTTAAGTATCATACCTCAATTTACTTCCAAAATATCACTTCTTTAAGTATCATTATTTTAATAACCCCCACTAATTTCAACACCCCCGAACAGTGAAATTTTTATCGCGAACAGTAGAATTTTATTACATAATCTATAAGACGAAACCTTGAATTTTACAGGAAAAATACTCCCACTGCTGAGAAAAATCTGTTAAGAAAGTATCAGTTCATTATGTAAAGCCATTTTTATAGCATTTTTTCAACTAAAATAGAATTTGCAGCTAAATTATTGCTTCAAAGGCATAAACCTTGCTGCTTAAAAGAAGCAAAAAGTTCATTTTTTTCAATTTTACTAATGAAAAGATATTATCTAAACCTATGTGTTTAAAATTAAGGTAAAACTACAAAATCACAATTTGTGACAAAACTTCGAATTTGCTACTTAAATAAGTGATTTAAAAATCACTTATTTCAATAAGTCCCCTGACTGTTAAACTTAAAAACTAAGAAGTTACAGAACTTCAAAAACTTCTCAAAATCCTTTGTTTGACCTGCTAGTCAAACGTGTTTTGTTAAAATATACTTTGTCACTTTTTTGGTCTTTTGGAAAATGTTCTTAGTGCTGTATTTAGACCCCTTTACCAAGAAATTTGTTTTGCATGCACAAGTATAAAAATTGCGGTTTTTATCCAACACAATCATAGGTTTGAACGTTGTTTTCAATTTAGACTTGTTTATATTTTTTCGTTTGGGCTTGTATTATATTTGCCTTCGGGTTTATATGATCCGTTCATCCTATTTTGACTCCTCAAAATTCAAGAGTCTATCCTAAATTGAGGTAAATTATATGGCCTTCCAAATACCGCTTCGATTCCTAACATCACTGAAGAGACATTAATTGTCGAAATCCGGATATGGTGTACTAATTTTTGCACCTTTTGTTTGCTGAATACCATCTTTTCAGCAAGTTTATTGTTTTCTGTTTGATATTAAATTAATATTTAAGATCCATACTGTTACATCTGGTGATCATTTTATTTGGCAATCTCCAATGGCAGTCAGCAGGGTTTAAGAACATCCGTTGTTCGACCTGCTAGTCAAATGCGTTTTGTTGAAATATACTTTGTCACTTTTTTGGTCTTTCGGAAAATGTTGTTTGTGCTGTATTTAGACCCCTTTACCAAGAAATTTGTTTTGCATACACACGTATAAAAATTGCGGTTTTCATCCAACGCAATCATAGGTTTGAACGTTGTTTTCAATTTAGACTTGTTTGTATTTGTATATATGTATATATTTATATGTCCCTCGCGTGGTCATAGAGTTAATATCCTGTAGAAAATAGTTCATACATATATTCAGGACAAGAACAAATTACTCAGTTATATTGATTGATTGTTGGTTGCTTAACCTCCAGCATGTCCAGTGGAAAATATTTCATGGATGTTCAGGACAAATCAATACATATACATTAAATTTGAAAAGAAAGGTAGTCTTGAACAAAGGAACATAAAATTTTACTACTAGAAATTTGCCTATCAAAAGGCTGACCCTGCAAAGATTTGTAAAATGCATGGTGAATAATGCATGTGTACATATACATGTAGCACTCTTAGAACAAAAAAGCTAATTATCAGATTCATATACAACATGTAAAACCAAACAAATAATGCTTATCACAGAAATGTATCTATCATGTCTATAGTCCTATAGCTAAAATCCATATATTTGTCTTGTACATCTTTAAGAAAATATGTTCATGAAACGTAATACGCTAAATATGTATGTTTTTTCACCATTTGTTTTGCATAAAAAGCTGTATGTATGTACAATTGTATATGTGTACATTTGTAAATGTATATTATATTATTATTTTTTGAGTTATTCACAGGGGCGGAACCAACATTTTAGGTTAAGGGGGTGCAAACTTAAATTTTCACTGAGTGGAGCGAGGCGAAATTATTGAAATATTCTTTATTAAGCCGAGGACAACCCATGCTTTGCAAACTTTAGGGGGCACGCCCACCACGCCCCCTCCTGAATCCGCCCCTGATTCAGACGGCATCAGGGGAGATTAGTATTGTACTAACTGATTTTACTCTCTTTAAATAAAGTATTCATTATATCATTATTATCTGTCAACACATGACTGGTTTGATAGATATATATATAAAAAAAAAACTACACAAACTGGATGGGAATCATATATTTGTACATCCTATTCCTAGCAATGGACTTCTAGTTTCTAGTCCTACATTGAATTCTTTTTCCGTATTGGAGGTGTGTCTTAAGTGGCAAAACTAAATAATAGGGATCATTCGTAATATTTCTTCCTGTAGACGTCGCTAGTGTTCCATAAGTGGTTGTCGGAAACGTTTTAATCAATTTGACGCTTGAATCGCATTACGTTGCACATGTTTACATTAGTAACCACAATCGACACTCGCTAATTTTACCAAACTAAGCTCCAAAATTGTTGTGTCCCCGGCTGCAATTATTCTGAAGGGGGACCACAGATTCTCAAAAGACCATGAAATTCTTTTAAATGGAGAGAAGGCATCAAGAGAGTTGATCCTCCCATCAAACATATCTAGGGAAACCCGGCGGAAAATATTCGACCAAGTTTGCCATAACCAGCTGATAACCATGTCATGCCAGGAGATTATATAACAACAGGATTAGGTTATTATGTATTTATATTTTTCTTATATTTAGTACAGTATTTAACCTCTTTGTTTTATTTTTTCACGATTAAACAGCCCAATAATTTGACAGGTTATTATTTATTAAAATAAGGGGATGACACAGGGATGTATTTTATTCTTCAAATATACCCTCACACTTGGTAAGTTTTTTCCTAGTCTTCACATTTTTTCACCCTTTTACCTTTGTTTGCATTGTAAATCAGAAATAATAATTATGTTGTGCACTTAATTATAGCAAGTGAAATATATTTCCCTGACAAAACAATGCATGAAAGGAAGAGAACTACATGTATTGGGAAATATGACAATCCCTATATTTCATTCTAAAAAAAACCATGGTACATATGAGCATAATTTTTCTATTTGTTTGTCGCAATAAAGTCTGAATTTTCTAAGGACTTTACATTAAACTTATGGCAAAAGCTGTCAGACCATTTTTTTTTAATTCTTCAAAGTTGGAAATCAAGAGTTAGAAAAAAAACATCACACACATCCCTGCATTAAACGCTTGTCCTTTATGAATGATAAGAAAAATTTCTGAACCTGCAGTTTATTAAATAACATGATGCTTTGTGTTTTCCTGTTTTAATATTTCAGAAGCCATCATGGATAACAGACTTTTTACCCAACCATGAAGTGATGAATGGGATACATCTTTATGTTTGAAATGAATTAATGGTTAAAATCCAAGTGGCTGCAAGTGCGAGGATCAATACTTCTGTCAGAACCAGATGTAAAAAAAAATTTGACAAAGGTGACAACAAATGGCAAATAGTGGAATTATGGAACAGGATTTATTTTCTAGCCAAGACATTTCCTTATATTAACACACAAACTTTCCTGTAAGGGAAATTCCAACTAGATCAGAAGAAAGTAGTTTGTGATAGAAAAGTGTCGTCCAACCGAATTCACATTAAAAGAGTCCTTGTTTTACACAAGGGTAAAACTTAATGCCCCTCCTCCGCTGTGGCAGGGGAATAAACAATCTGAAACATGTAATTCCACGTGGAAACTTCTAATTCAACTTGGTTCCAGAATTATCTGTGTTTGCTGTGTTCTTTCTAATTTCATAAAAATACATTGTAAATAAATATGCATAAAAGATTAAATGGATTTACATGCAATTGATTTTATTATTTGTTCTAATGTGGTGCTGTTTCACCACTGCTTTCCCAGTTAGCACCAAAAAAAATAGAAAAATGTTGAAAAAATATTGTAGAAAAATATCAAAATCATGCAAAAATGTATGGCGTTAAAAATATTTTTAAAACATTTTCATAATACTTTTAAAACATCATTAAAATGTTACTGAATTTTGACGACAATGTTTGTAAAATGTCTTATAAATGATTTGAATGTGTTTGTTAATCAAATATCCCTGAAACATTTTTAAAACATATAAAAATTCATTTCTGCAGGATAAAATGTTTTGAATAATCTTCATATTCTTAAAAAAATCATTTAAATGTTATTCGAAATATCATTATAAAAATGTTTTCTAACATAATCTTTCAAGTCTTTTTATAAAATATTCAGAAACATATAAACAATGTTTAATATCAGAGACAGATTTAGGAGTGGGGTGCCTGGGTCCCCCCTTTATGGCCCTTATGGAGCTACATTTATGGTAAATCCAGATTTTTTAATTACTCTCAAGACTTTGTCTAGTTTGGGGCCTGATGACCCCTTTTAATGCCCCCGCAACTGAAAGTTGGGGGCATATTATTTTACCCCTGTTTGTCCTTCTGTCTGTCTGTCCGTTCGTCCCATTATGGGTATATAGTTATTCAGCACAACTCCTCCTACAGTTAGAATCCTAGGAAGTTTTCACTTTGCTGTCTGTTTGTACATATATTGAAGATGTGCATGTGGTTATGGTTTTGATTTTTATTGATATTTGCCCTTTTGGGAGATAGTTGAACTATTTCATTTTTGGGGTATAAGCGGTTAAATGTTATAGTTATTTTAAAATAACACTTTGCATTTCCGGGATAATAATTGTGTCTCCCAGACACAATAATATCTCAAAGAAAGTCCTACATTGACTTTGTTTTAATACAGTTACTTCAGAGTGGAGTGGTGGGGGGGGGGGGGGGGGGGGGCACTTTATCTAGATTCAAAATCCTGGATCCACATTTGAGAAAACAACTGCCGTCATACTGATCTTTACCCCACATCTCCTTTTACATTTGTCTGCATGCTGTTGATGCCGGCTTAATCTATATATATTTTGTCTATTTTTGTCGGGTTAATGTCTCATTGACAAACCCCAATATTTCCTGTCTTAGATATCAATTTTATTGAATAGTCCATTTTTTTGTATTTTGCACTGAACACATATGAAAAAGAAGATGTGGTATGATTGCCAATGAGACAACTCTCCACAAGAGACCAAATGACACAGAAATAAATACAACTATAGGTCACCGTACAGCCTTCAACAATGAGCAAAGCCAATACCGCATAATTTGTTTCACTTACATAGAGGTATTAATTTTTATACGACCGCAAAAATTTTTTTGGGATCGTATAATGGTATGATGTCGTCGTCGTCTGCGTCGTCGTCCGAAGACACATTGGTTTCCGGACAATAACTTTGGTTTAAGTGAATGGATCTTTATAAAAATTTTTAAGACGGTTTAATACCACAAAAGGAAGGTTGGGATGGATTTTGGTGATGATGGTCCCAACCGTTTAGGAATTTGGGGCCCAAAACAAGCATTTTTCTAGTTTCAGGATAATAACTTGTGTACAAGTATATCGACTGCTCTGAAATTGTACCACAATGTTTAATAACACAAGTAGAAGGTTGGGATTCATTTTAGGGGTTATAGGGCCAAAAGTTTAGGAATTAAGGACCAAAAAGGGGCCAAAAACAAGCATTTTTCTAGTTTCCAGACAATAACTTGTGTAAGTATGTATCTCTGACATTGTACCACAAGGTTCCGTATAACAAAGGGAAGGCTGGGATTGAGTTTGGGGTTAATTGCCCCAAACGTAGGAATTAGGGGCCAAAAACAAGCATTTTTCTAGTTTCCAGACAATAACTTGTAAGTGTATGGATCTCTCTGAAATTGTACTACAAGGTTCCATACTACAAAGGAAAGGCTGGGATTGAGTTTTGGGGTTATTGCTCCAAGGGGGGGGGGGGTCAAAAAGTTGGGGGGGATTCTTTTCATTATTATTTTTTAAGGGATTTATATTTTTTTTTCAAAATTTTTAAAATTTCGAATTTTTTAAAAAGTTTCAAGAAGAAATCTTCAATTGCACAGTATTGCGCAATGGATTTATAAGATCTTTGACCACATTTATTTTGTGTCAGAAACCTATATTATGTCAAAAATTTGATTACAATCCAAATTCAGACAGTAAAAAGCTTGAATATTGTGTCCAAATTTGCCCCAACTGTATAGGGTTCGACCTCTGCGGTCGTATCAGGCTGCGCTCGGCAAAGCATTTTATTTCAGATTATAAATATCCTCATGCATTTCATTTGGTCCAGCATTGAACAAATTTTTTCTTAGAAGTGTTTTTTTATCTTTTGTTTGATCATGTGTAGCATCTGTCATTTTCTGTCTGAACAGCTTTTCGATGGTTTTCTTTGCTGTCTTGGTCAACAATACACAAGATAACAACAATAAGAAAGGCAAAATTTTTATTTAATTTTGTCATTTCACTGTTTTCAATTTTTCTTTTGTTCCATTCTTTTTATTTCTCTTGACTTCTGCTGGCTTCTGCAAAGAAAATGTTAACAGATTAGTCCTGTTGTTTAGTGAGTAAACTAGTGGAGATAATTTAAATTTCATCAAATTACACAAGAAAATTTTATTTTAATCCAGTCTGGTTTCATAAAAATTTATATTGAAAAGCGACATCTAATCAGTGTGGCTGGATTCGGAAGATATACACATACATCTGTGGAGTTTCAGGTGTATTAATATCATACGAGTCTGTAACGGTAGAGTTCACCAGTACTAAAATAAAACTGTACAGTACCATTTTCCCAACTGAGATTAGGACCTGTAACCTTTACTTGGTCTTACAAAAAATCAACTCTCTTAATGGTAATTGTATATATTAACACAAATACATTTTTGTGATATAGATTGAGGCTATAAAAGGATAAATACCTTCACACAATCTGCTCCTCCAGAATGTTTTGAATCTAAGCTTATAAATTTTGGCTCTTCTAATTGATTCTACAAAAGATAAAAAAAAGTCAAAATATTAAATAAAATACAGTCAAGAAAAAATCACATAGTACTAGTCAGCTACAAAGGTCACAACATTCAAAAATGAAAGAAAATTCAAACAAGAAAACTAATGGCTTGATTTTAAATTATAAAATAAGACAATAAAAAAACAAATATATATGTATATATATCAGAAATTAACCAACTATAACTACTAAATTAAAGGCTCCTGACTAGGATTGACACATTAACAATTATCTATACTTACAAAAAAATATATCTGGCCTGGCCTTGAAGGGCTAGCGATTGATCACAGGCACTTGTCTCAGAAAAAAATTTCCTAAAACACGTGTTATATTAAGGTATATAGGAAATTTTTTTTTGAGACAAGTGCCTGTGCGATTAATCATGAAAACTGTATAATGAATATATTGTCTTTCATGGTTACAAATATCTACCAGTAGAAAATGTCCCCAATATTTCACTATTTTATATTACTTTACTAACTAATACATTGTTGATGACGCTGAAAACAGCATACATAATATATGCTATGTCTTGCTTTTGGACTCTGTCAAGGCAAGACAAAAAGGAAAGAAATCAATGATTCAAGTTCAAATATATTGATTGATTGTTGGAATCTTAATGTCCAGTGACAAATATTTAATGCATGTACCAGCCAAAGTTTAATTAAACAAGCTAAGGAATGGTTTGAATCTTTTTAAAACATGTAGGTAAAGATTTTTTAAAGTACTATTACATAGATTAAATTCTGCTTGCCATGAAATATTTGAAAAACAAGATATCATGTGGATTTAATGGTATAACTAATGAAATTTTGAAAAATTCTTGTATGCTGAATGTTGGGCATGATATGCATATAAAATTATAAAACATTACTTTTTTCTTAAAAATTAATAAAATTTTCTCTCTAGCAAGAAGTTCTTATTGGAGAGAAAATTTATTTAACCCATATTCAAAGGAAGATGTTTTAATAGCCCTTCAAACAACAGAGGTATAACCCTTTTTACTAGTTTAGGAACATTTTTTTCTAGAGTATAATAGTTTAGAAAACTATTTAGAATCTTATAAGATTATCTGCCAAGAACAGATAGGATTCAAAAAGGACGTAGAACTACATGTATAGGGACCACATTTCTAAGTTTAAAAAATATTTAGTTGGGTTAGTTTTCATAATTATGTTCTAATCAATTTTGCAGAATTTGAAATTATTCCATATTTAAATAATTCCTTGTTTGAACTTGAATTGCAAATAAAACTTCATTACAGATGTACATATCTTTTAAAATTTCCAAAAATGGCCCCATCATGTTATATATAAAAAGTTTGCAGAGAAGGGCCTTTATATTTTTTTACAGTGTCTTTTTTTTTAAGTTGATGAAGCTGAGACATATTAAAAGATTTAAAGCTTAAAAATGTAGAATCATGTCTTGTTTAAAAGTGGTATTGGGAGGATTTAATACTTTCCTTGTGTAATTGTCCCATTTTCAAAAGTAATATATTGTTTATATATAACTGGGACTAATAGATTATTAGTATAATAGTCCCAGTATATAACAAGTTAAATTTAATTTTCCCTTGCCCAGTCTGCATGGTCTGTATCACATTTCATGGCCAACAGATAATATCTGTATAGAACCCCTATTTTTAATTATTATTATACAAAATCATTTAAATGTATCCTAGAAAGTTTAATTATATATTCATGACTATTTATATGTTCAGTGGGGTTTTTATTTTGCTTTTTTCTAACTTGGGGTACATGTATTTGTCACTTGGTATTTCACACTAACTATTTCATATAAAATTGCATTTCAAAAGATTATTTAGCCATTTTAGGGGACATTTCTGATTTGATTTTATGCAACTTGGTACCAACAGCAGAATAATTATTTGTTTATTTTCATTTTCTTCTGAGATAAACATAAATATTATTGTCTATTATAAACAATCTTGCTATATATTTATATTTCAACCAAATTAAATTGTAAAAAATAGTATATGTGTTCACATCAGGAGAAAATAAAAACAACAGACACTGACAGATGACAGAGCTATGACAAAACAAACAAATACTCTTTATATACAATTCAGCGTTTTTCAACACATTATTTGTAAAAATACAACCATAAATGCCTCCAATAAACGTCTTTTCATATGAAATATATAGCCCAAAAATGTAGGTGACGAAAGCTTTTTGGCAATGTACTGTAGCGGCGTTTCCGCTTATAATAGAAGAAATCTCAATATTTTTTAAGTACATCGTTTACCTTTCTATAAGATCTATATTTCTGTCTCTTGTGACAGCTCCACGTAACGTTAGTTCTGGAACAGACCAGGTATTGTAATCATCGGATGCCATTGTTTACGTTGTAAATACAGATGCAAGCGTTTTACGTGATTGAAGCGTTCAAGTAACCACTTATGGAACCGCAGCGCCGCCACGCGTGAAAAGTCGTGAATGATTTCTATTACAGATCAAGCAGATTACAGTGGAAGCTTTTATCAGTGAGATTACATGTACACACAAATTTTCAAGATTTCTTACAAAATGTCTTACCAGTTACTTTTGACATGGTGAATTCTCCTCAAACACTTTGTAGCTACTGATTTGCAAGTCTACAAACTTGTGTAAAAAATCTTGCAAGCAGGTATGCAGTAAAATTATTATAAGCAGATCTTGTTGAAGTGTACTTTTGTTAATAAAAATATTGACAGATTCAAATGGAGCTAGGATAATTTATTTTCGTATAATGTTATGACTGTACAGTACATTTACCTCCTTATATTGGAGCACCTTAGTCCTGGGAACAGTATGTCAATATATATGTTCCTGCTTAGTCCTTAATCATAAACAGAATAGAGATTATTTTTTCTTTTTTGTCGTAATTTACCAGCTTTGGTATGAAATAAATTTAACCAAAAAATATTTGAGGACAAATAGTTGTATTTTACTTCTCTCTCTTTATGCAATTTGATGACATCACTGAAGTCGCTTCTCTTCCTTTTCCTTTTATATCTCCACCACACGATCGGTGCACTTACATACATGTATGTTACCAGTTACTGTTAGTGTTAGGCTAGTTTTAGATATGTTGGAAGTCAGATATTGTATAGGATAATCATATATTTACCACAAGCTTATTAAAGTTAAACGTCTCATTTAGATCTGACGTTAGGTTCATCATAATGTGTTCAAACTAGAATGAAGATACCTGAAATTGGCTGAATCAAAAGTGTGAATTTTGTAGTTGTTTATTCAATATTTAAGCTACATTATATCTAAAATTTCCTTTTTTGTTTGTTTGTAATTTCCTTCTTGAATTTATTATTTTTGAAGGCTTCAGGGAAGTTTAAAATGTTATTGTTAAATGAGTTACCTTAATCTGTTATTTATTATTATAAGGGTATTGCGAAATATAGCCATGTTTTCACCTCAAAATTTATTCATAGTACAAACAAACCTGTGCATCTGGAAAAGTGGCAAGGCATGGCTTGAACTAGATAAATATAACTTAATATTATATGCATTTTGCGTTTTTTGTGTATGGTATATTAATTACATAGTTGATGTATGATCAACTATGTAATTAATATACCATGAGCCTTAACCATTTATTGTTGATGAGTTTGTGCTAATAAAATATTTGTATTTGTATTTGTATTTGTGTTTCATAAAATTGGATTTTGAGATTCATCATGTTCATTGTTTTCTACTCTGCAGACGATATGGTAAAATAAACAAACACCTGAATTTTATTTGATTCTGTCTACTCAAGTATAGTTACAGTAATTGCAGTAAAGATATCTATTGCCCATATGACTATGATACAATAAATATATCTGTTACCAGAGGGGGGACTTTTCAATAGTAGTTTTTAGTCAACTTAGCAAATCGTCCCTCTGTGACATTTGCATATTTAACTGTCTGTGGTTGTACTACTTAAACAAGTGATTTTATTATCATTTAATTTTTAGAATTAGAAAATTTCAGTAATTACCCAGACCTATTCAGGTGGTTTTGATGTTTCCTTTGACATGTTTGATCTTCAAATACAGATTTCATGAATTTACGACTACATGTAAATGACCATTTTTTTCTGCAAAACTAAATAATAAGCACCATTAGGAATTTTTCTATAATGATGATAATTTGATATTCATTATCATTAATGTAACTACCCTTTCCTTGTTCCTTAAAAAAAATGGTCAACAATTCCAAGTTACCTGATTTGGCTTCTTTATTTTTAGAATGATTATTAACATTTAGGTTTTGTCTTGATTTACAATTATTCCAGTTTGTGCTTACATTTTTAATTCAAATAAACTGTAAAAAATGACAGGCACATCAAGCAATAGAGTATTTCTAGATAATTATATATTTTTTTCAATGGAATCTGTGTTTACACACATAAAAAAGAAAGCTTGTGAAAAAAATATCAAGAGAATTTTCTTCACACTTATTTAATAAGTCATGTAAATTCTTACTTCTAAAATTACTTATTTAAGTGATTTAAAGATTTTGTATAAAATTTTGTTATCATTTTCAATTTTTAAATGCCCTTATAACTTTTTATAGGTGATCCTGAAATCACATGTGTGTTTAAATGATACTCCTGACCTTAATCACGTTAAATAGAATGTTATTACTGAAAAAAAACCAGGTTTGTTTTTAGATCAATTACAATTTTTATAATAAATATAATTTTGAAAATGGGTTTTATAGATATTTTTTTTTATACTGTGTAATGACTGTTTAAGAAATAATTCTTTCATGCCATGCTTTATGCTTATTTTAACATGGGTAGGCATTATATTTGTCAATATCTTTATACTGAGCGATAGCATAAAGCATGGCATGATAGAATTATTTCGATTCCGATAGGAATATTAAGAACTTTTGTACTTTGAAGCAGACCTAGCTATAATACACATTCAAAAGGCAGTCATTTTGATTTGATGAACCAATTTGTTACAGAAAATCAACAGTTGAACGATAAAAAAAATAACATGTATATGTAAACTTACTTTTAGAATGATTTTATTTAATTTCCTAGCGAGCAACATCAACAAAACTGTCCATTTCGACCTCCGGCGTTGTTCAAAATACAACTGACATTGCAATTCCAATTGTGACGTCAGTCACGTGCAGCCCATGTTTTATTGTAATTAGAACATGGTTTTGTTTCCAAAGGGAAAGAAGGACGTCATATTATTGAATTAGAAATAAATATATTTCTAAGTATGTTATGATTTTTCGTCATGTGTCGGTCTGTCCAATTCTCCCACAAAAAGGGGGATGAGGTAATAGTATTGTTTTTCATTATGTGTTGTTGGGTTACTCTATGAGGGTCTAGATGGGGTTTACAGAATAGAGAATAATTGGCCAATACTACAGAAGAATGGGCTAAAAAATAAAGAATAGAGAAAAATAGACCCAATTGGGTGCTAAAATATCAATAATATTGAATAATAGGCAAAATTTATAAAAATAGAGAAAAATGGCTTTAAAGTTAAAGTATACAGAATTGAAGGACCCCCATTCCTATCCTTCTCTATCTTTGAAGTTTATGCCACATCGCCTTTTATTTGTGAACAAAAATGATCCTAGATACGATCATGTTTTAAATATTTATCCTGTTTGTATGTACTCTAATTAAAATTTCATTTTCTTTTTTGAACAGAAAATGAGTATGTGAGAATTTTCAGGCTGAATCAGGAGAAACTATGTCCAATAAAGAGCTACAGGAGGTAAAATTATAATACAAAGTCTATACTATACTATACTATACTATGCTACACTAACATGGCTTAGATGCCAAATAGGCAATGCAATGCATATTTATGAGGGTCTGGATGGGGTTTACAGAATAGAGAATAATGGGCCAAGACTACAGAAGAATGGAGCAAAAAATAAAGAATAGAGAAAAAAGGCCGAAGAAATAAAGATTAGAGAGAAAAATGGGATGCAAAAATATAGTGAAAGGAAAATAATGTCCAAAATAGATAAAGAATCAAGAGAAATGGTCCAAAAAGTTAAAGAATATAGAAATGAAGGACCCCCATTCATACCCTCATATATGAATGGAATGAGTACATTGGTGACCCATTGGTGGCCTTCAGCTGTTGTCTGCTCTATGGTGGGGTTGTTGTCTCTTTGACACATTCCCCATTTCCATTCTCAATTTTATGTATATATATATGTATATAATTATTATGGAAGGATAACAAACAGCCTAGGTATAAAAAAAGATGATACCATTTCAATCTTGTTTTATGCCCGATGTAGTGCATGGTTATTCTCTGCAGTAACTTTTTTTCAACTTGAACTGTAGGACAAGTAATTTGAAAAAGTTCATGTGACAAACATGACTATTGAAAAAAATAACTCTTATAATAATGCATGATATAAAAAAACCTTCTGGTCAAAGTCTATCAAAACAATTAAACCTGGAAGCCCTTGAGAGTGATGGTCCAATTTTGTAGTTGTTCATAATATCAGTCAGAACAAAATGAATGTTTTCTGACAAAGGTCATAATATAGATATTAAAAGGAGAAGGATACACTATTAAAGTCAGGATTTTATAATACACCTTGTAAGTGTGACTGACTTAGTTTAAATAAGTGAATAAAGAAATAATTAGATACACGTGTATATGATAAAAAATATATCATTACCGGTACCATTGCACTCCTTCCTGTGTCAACAAAAAGTATGATATCATTATGGTATCCTCAATGTAGTGGATACAATGGATGATACCTCTTGAACTGACATTGCATGCTAGATATGTGAAAATGTAACTATCCTACTCATGTCACTCACAGCTGCTACTAAAAAAAGATTTTATACATGTATGGATTGATAACAAATGATAGAATTGAGACATAAGATTTCAATTAAGAATTATATAGCTAAGACGGTCTGTTTAAGTTGGTACATGTTTTGTAAGTTACATAAGATACTGATTTAGTTGTCCTATATGGGTAATCTCCCTGTAGTGTTGTTTATATATTAATATAAGAGTTATCTCCCTGTTGTGTTGGTTTATTCATGTATATTTATGAAAGAGTTATCTCCCTGTAGTATTTGCTTATATAGTAATGTTTAATATTCTTTTATTTCTGGTATATATTTGTTTCAGGAAGAGCTGGAAGTCCTCCATTCAATATATGATGGTGATGACAGTTTTAAACAAATAAATCAGACGACATTCCAGTATAAAGTAAGTACAATGGATCCACCGTGAATGTAATAAATAAACAAGTAAATCAGACAACATTCCAGTATAAGGTAAGTACAATGGATCCACCGTGAATGTAATAAATAAACAAGTAAATCAGACAACATTCCATTATAAAGTAAGTACAATGGATCCACCGTGAATGTAATAAATAAACAAGTAAATCAGACAACATTCCAGTATAAGGTAAGTACAATGGATCCACCGTGAATGTAATAAATAAACAAATAAATCAGACAACATTCCAGTATAAGGTAAGTACAATGGATCCACAGTGAATGTAATAAATAAACAAGTAAATCAGACAACATTCCAGTATAAAGTAAGTACAATGGATCCACTGTGAATGTCATAAATAAACAAGTAAATCAGACAACATTCCAGTATAAAGTAAGTACAATGGATCCACCATGAATGTCATAAATAAACAAGTAAATCAGACAACATTCCATTATAAAGTAAGTACAATGGATCCA